TCATAATCAGAAGACGATGGTCGGCTGATCATATTTGGGCGAAAGTGGTTAGAGGACTATAGTAAGGTAATCTTGGTTGAAGGATTGTAATTGAGCGATGATTGTTGGAGGATGGTGCTTGAGTGACAGTGGTCAGGTGAGTGTTCTTGGACAACCGTGGTTAGAAAACTATAGTATGGTAATGGTAAGCAGAGGATCATAGCTGGTCAACAATAGTTTAAGGACCATAATCAATCAGCCATGATTGGAGTATCATAGGAGATTAATACTGATTGTAGGACCATATGAGAATGACAGTGGTTATAGGATAAGCGATGATGGTCGAATGACCATTCTCCATAGTCAGGTGATGTTGGATATAGAAGCATAGTTGTGCAATTATGATTGAAAGTCATAATAGCACAATTTTTTATTGAAGGATCATAATCAAGTGATAGAAGTCAAATAATCATAGGAGTAAAAAAGATACACAAAGACCTAAGTTGATATTAATAGTCGGAGGATCATAATGGGGCAATAATGATATGAGTATATTCAAGCAATAATGATATGATGATTATAATCAAACATTGGTTGAATAACCATATAAAGGCAATGGTAGTTTGATTAACATAATAAATAAATGGCAATCAGAGGATCTTTCGATCTTAACTGAATACTTATAAACACCAAATTTATATAATCCATGGGATTGTTCTCTTTAGCATGGAAAGGTTTGCACACATGTATATCCTTCTTTGACCATATAAGAGTTACAAATTTATTTGGAGTTAGAGAACAATCCTGTCACACTGCCCAAATTTATTGATTTCTTTGTGTGTCTTCTCTAACTCCAAATAAATTCTAAATCTATAATTTTTCTTAGGGCAGTAAATCAATGTTTGATCTTTTCAACTTAAATTGTAATCAAATATTCATACGTTTTAAAAAAATCTAATATATATTAAAGATAAAAAAGAAGAGTTTACACCCTTTGGATTAAAACCTAGGAAGCTCACTATGCACCAAACTAAGAGGTGAATAAAATAACAACCCTAATTGAGAATATTAATTGATGTTGGTATCAATTTCACTGAAGGCCCATGTGAAATTGATACCCACATCAAATAAATCACATTTGAGCTGATGTATTGAATTGTGGAAAATCTCGTGATTATCTGGTCATATATATCATTATTCATCGAGATGTGTAGACGAAAGTCAATATTCTCCATGAATAATCATATTTATGATCTCATACATTCTTCCATTATGCTATTAGCATAGAGTATAAAGGTATGCGACTATTTTCTCCTACGGGATAATGCAATCATACCCTTTGCATTATAACCCCCATTAGCAGCATCCATTCAACGACCCACAATATAATCTTCTTCAATTATGAGAACTAGAAAGATTATTATATCTCCTATTACATAATGGATAATTGCATACGATAGATTTTTTATAAAACTAATATCTAAAATTCACTCTATTGCCATAAATTGTATATCACATAGCATATTTGATAATCCATTATATAATCATTCATGGATACTAACACAATCTTTGATGAAATAACTGAAGAAGAGCATGATTACAAGCTGTAGTATAAAATATAGCTTGAACAGAATAGAAAAACTGGAAGTAGAGAAGAATAGAAGAAGCATAGTAGTATACTTCATTAATTTGAATGATGAATACACTAGTTACATATATACTAGCTAAGGCATTAAAGGTAATTATATAAGTGCCATTTGAGGTGGTTAGAAAGTAACGACAGTGATTTAATCAGGTGAAAAGATAGCCATGTGAAATCTGAAAATGCAGCAGACGAAGATGGCGGATAGGTCTGAATCGTGCAGAAATTAATGGAGAATAAAGAAAAAGGATTTCCAGAAGAGCAGCTCTATTACCGCACTTGAGGAGAATCGCAGACCGCCAACTTGTGTCTGAGATAGGAGAAGGTAGACTTGGGTAGAAAGCCTTTGTTAAAATGTATTTTACCTGATATGTTGAAGATATGTGTTGAACATTGATAACTGCAGATTGTATAGCTTTTCAGATGAAATGATGATCGTTTCTATATGTTTTATCGACTCATGAAAGATGGGGTTGCTGGCGATGGAGAGAGCAGAAATATTATCGCAGAACAGAGGAGTTGCATCCAAACTAAGGCAAAAATCTTGGAAGAAACTGAAAGAAGCGATGTGGTAGAGGCCGTCCTTACATGGTCCGGTGAGGAGGGTTGTGCTGGTCTGTGGGTCCTTCATTTGAAAACCGGATGCATAAAAAAGAATTGAGAGATTCTTATCTTTGGTAAGAGAAGACACAGAAATGAGATTGTCAGAGAGATGGAGGAGGAGTAAGTGTGGGGGTGAGATCTTTCGGGTTGGAGTGGGGATGAGTCCCTGATCAGAGTGGGCAATGGGGATGGTTCTGCCATCGCCGATAGACATGCTATCCGGACCACTGTACTCCATAGCTGTAGAAGGTTTTCTAGGTTGTTGGTGAGGTAAGAAGAAGCTCCAAAGTCAAGAATCCAGTCGGTGTGGGGCTGCGAGTTGGTGGCGAGGAGAGCTGTTGAAGGAGTCGGGTATTGAGCGTTGAATCTTTGCCAACAGATATGTGTTGTGTGTCCTCATTTCCCACAGATCTAACAGGTGGTAGAGCCGGTAGAAGAAGCAGAGGAGTTAGCTGAGGGAGTGAACTAGCGACCTCGGTTGGAATAGGAGGTGGAGCGACCTCGGCCTTGACTGGTGTAGAGAGTTGTGTTGGGGTTTGGGGTTGATTGCTCCTTGGCTGATTCTGTAGATAGGTTTATTTCTTTGCTTAAGAGCAGTCAATACAGATCCTCGAGGCTCACCAGAGTTACTTTGGTGCGAATGTAGGTCTTGAATGCCTATATTGTGGTGGAAGACCATTGATGGTGTATGAAAAAATGTATTCGCTGTCGATGGAGCAGCCGGATGCCGCTATATTGTCGACAAGCGTCTTGACATTGGTGAGATATTGAAGCATAGTGAGTTGGCCCATGGAGATGTGATGCAGCTCGTTTTTAAGTTGTATCACCCATGACATGTTGGTAGCTTGACGACGACGTTCAAGTGTGCTCCAAATGTCTGCACATGTGTCCAGGTGACGGGCGTAACGAAGGATGCCGAGGGTGATGGTTGAGCAGAGGGCGGCGGCGAGATTCTGATCAACTAACGTCCATCGAGTGTATGAGGCGTTGGGTTGGGAAGTGCCGGTGGAGTCAATATGCAGGCGAGGAGGGGCTACAGAGGATTTGACGAGAAAGCCTGCATAGTTGTTGGCTTGGAATAGTTTAAGGATTTGGGATCTCCAAGTGGAATAGTTGTCATTAGATAGCTGAATGGGAACAATTGTTTTTATGTTAGAAATAAGTAACTTGAGGGAGGAGGGAATAGTGATGTCTTCGTGAGAGAGTTCTGTGGATGCATCTTCGGTGTGGGAGGAGAAAGATGCTGCCATATAGGGGGGTTCACGGGCTGTGAGCCCAAGATGGCTCTGATACCATGAAAGAGAGTAACAATACAACAATAGAAATTACAGCCAGAGTGTCTCAAAGAGGAACGAGACAAGTTTCCATTACTATGTTAAATCAATGTACATCGTTTAATGTAGTAGCTTGTGTATATTTATAGGTGCTTGTGCTATACAAGTATGAGCCTGTGATTGGTTGAGTTTGTTAAGAGCTAACTACCAGACGTGAGCATGTGAGCTAACGTCAAGGCATGTGAGTATTGTTGAGAGGAGACGTTAATTACGCCGGTTGTGGTAGATTAGTGTTAGGTGGTTTTTAGAAGAATGCTTGAAGCTGGAGTTTGCCTCGTTTGCAAAGAAGACCATGGGTGGGGATGCCCTTTAGGTACCGAAGTACGCATTTAAGTAGATGAAAATGACAATCCAAAGGCTTGTGCATTTGTTGGCAAATTTTATTTACAGCAAAGGCAATCTCAGGATGGATGGAGGTAAGGTATTGAAGGGAACCAGCCAACTGTCAAAACAGGGAAGGATTATGAAATGGTAGTAGCAATTCATGCAACGAAGGAATTTTTTTGGGCAGAGGATTGAGGATTGGCTCAGAATTTATCATGCCAGCTTTTTGTAGAAGTTCCATGATATAGGTATGCTGAGAAAGGTGATAGGATTGGTTTTCTTAAGTGCATTGATTCCAAGAAAACAAGACAAATTGCCGAGATTTCACATATTGAAACATAGCTGAAGTTTGTGTAGAAGAGCATTACTAAAAGATTGATCATTACCTATGACCAAGATATCATCAACATAGACAAGAAAGTATATGTGGATATTATTGGTGTTATAGATCATTAGAGAAGAATTGACTTAGCTGGAATGAAAACCTTCAAGAGTAAGGTAAGAGGAAAGAGTGACAAACCATTGAAGGGGAGCTTGCTTGAGGCCATAGAGAGCTTTTTTTAGTAGATATACATGATTGGGATATTGGGTATCTTGAAAACCCCATGGTTGAGACATGAAAACCATTTCATCTAAAGAATCATGAAGAAAGGCATTGGCTATATCGCTAAAAATGAAGAAAAATGGTGAGAAATAGGCGAATTGTTGGAGATTTAGCATCGGGGAAAAGTTTCATGATAAGCAAGGCCATAAAGATTTAGCTTACAATAACCATTTCATTAAAATGACGTCCCACTTTAATGCAGAAAGAAAATAAGAATCAATATTCAAGAGTTCATAATGAAATTTACGTCAGAACTAAAAGACACAAAGCAACTGTTTTTTTTACTACAAATTTGCATTTAAATACTATTTTTAATCCTAAAACACAATTATTTTATCTTATATTATTTATCAAATATCTCCATCAATAACCCTAACACAACTTTTTCCCCTTAATACACAGAAATCTATTTATTCATCAAGGCACTCCAGTTCGTAACAATGGATCGCAATATAACAAGTTTTAAACTTCCAGTTTTATGGCTGTTCCTGATGACCATCCTTAAAGCAGACAGTTTGTGTGAAAACTTCATCAGTCAAATATAATTCAAATGTTTCACATAGGAAAAGTTCTAAATACTAATAAAAAGCACTACTACTTATAGTTACAAAGCTGCAATGCCTTACTTGGTTAGTCTGAATCTGGCCAAAAAGCATTATTCATCACCTTTCAAAAGCTTTGAAAATGTAACTTCATTGAATAAATACGCAAATGAAACCCAAAAGTGGTTCTATAAACAGACAGAATATACTAAGTTGTATTTTGAAAATAAAACTCCACCAACCAAAAGTGCTGTCAGTGACATCTCTAAAGTTACTTTGAAACTGCCACTGCAAGAATCTCATAGCTGCAGGCTGAAAAGATGAGGAAAACACCACTAAGTTAAAAGAGAAGAGCTTGTGCTTATACGCTCTACAGGCTAAATTTAAATTAGGCAAACAACACTAAGATGAGGCAAACAACACCTTATTTTCCCAAAAGTTTAATTATTAGATTGTTTTATTGTTGCGTACATGCCGTAGATAAATACAGAAATATCTAGATTCCCCACCATCGATTAAGATTGTTTATGGAATGTTAAGCAATTCCCTATATTATTACTGACTTCTTAATGTGTACTTGTCCTCTATCAACTCAAGCTAGTGTGGGATTGTAGCTCATCTAATTCACCGTATGTATTTACGTCCAGCTCTGAAACCTCCAACTTCCTTGAAGGTCGTTCAATCACTGAAAGTCCCATTGGCATTTCATGCTGATTTGTACATGTTGACTTTGTACAAACATGTTCATTTTCCAACTCTTAGAAGAAGAGCTTTTGGTCCAGGTGAAATGATGCAGAACAAATATGGTCAGCAGGATTCTCATCTATATTAATTTTTAGACATAGATCCACTTAGTTTTGACATGTTCTAAATATTTTAAATACTTCATATACATGTAATAAAGACTATAATTCATTTCCTTAATAGTTAGTGCGGTATTAAGAAAGTATTGTAATCCCAAAGCCTATATAAGAGATCATGACTCTTGCATTAAAACAATAACAACATCAAGCCTTATCCCAATGTGGGGTCAACAACATGAATCATTTTTCTCCATTAAGTTGTTAAAAAGTCAAATTCCCATTCAAATCTAATAAAAAAGGTATTCCTAATACTTTTTAATCAAGTTTTTTTTAGTTTACCTCAACTTTTCTTAACATAGACCAAATCTAACGCATCTACTCTCCTATCCAGATCATCGGAAGGCCGGCGTTTGACATTTTTTTCTATCTGAACCATTGACCACTCTCTCTCTCTCTCTCTCTCCTCTCTAGTAGTTATTTAGTTTGCCTCTGAAAAGTGTATATGCAAACTCTTTGTGTATGCTATATGATTAGATTAAAACAAGCATACAAATGTTACATCATAGTTCAAAGTGTTCATATTTTAAAGTTAGTAGTTCTGCAAAATCATTAGAAAATTTTGCATCAAAATTAGATGTAGATATATAGTTATTTAGTTCTTAAACGTACAGTAAAACAAAGACCCGTAATAACATACCAGCAATTGCAAGAATAGTTAGCACATTTCCAATTTTTGATGCTTGCTTTACGGATTTCTTGTAAGATTTGAACCTTTTCAAAGCGGGATCTTCTTCCAAAAGCTGTAATCAAATTAATTGGAAAGCATGAAAAAAAAAAAATGAAAAAAGCAATAATAACAATTAACTGATATCTTATATCAAATGTATCAAAGTTAAGATCAAGCACAAGATAAACACATAGAACATGTCTTTATTCAATAAGTTCATATCCAAATCACAACTAAAAAGTGCGAGTAAAAATAGGATGGTAGCTTTGAAATCATTAAAATAGCTTAATTGTATTTAATGTAACCCAAGATGCATTTTATATCACCAGTAAAAATGTACATGTCCCGAGTGTACGGCATTAATATTTTATTTAAAATTAAACTTTATTTTAATTTAAATATTTTACTATATTATACCTTCAAGAATTGCTATAACTATAAATGCTTAATCAATAGTAGGGGTGCAACCGAGTCAAGCCGACTCATGAGCCGGCTCGGACTCGACTCGGTAATAGACTCGAGGAGTCGAGCTTATCGAGCTCGCGATTTGAGCTCGAACACAATTTCGAGCTCGAAGGCTTATCGAGCTCGAGCTCGAACAGGTCTCAAACTCGACTCGTCGGCTCGACGAGCAGCTTGACTGGAGGGAACGAGCTCGCAATGGAGGGACGTGCTCGGGACGATGACATACATGTTCGAGTCTTCGGGACGGCGATGACGGAGCTCGACAGTGGACACTAGACGCGACGGCAAACTCAGGCGGACGGAGCTCAATAGCCGATGCTTGGATCTGGATAACGACAACAAACTCAGGCGGACGGATCTCAACAGCGGATGCTCGGATCTAGATAGCGACGGCAAACTCAGGCGAACAAATCTCAATGCGGGCGGATCTCAACACCATCGATATTCGAGCTCCGCTTGAGACGATGACGAACGAACTTGGGATGACGAAAATGGCGAAGCTCAAATCTCGATGGTGAAGCTTGAAATGAACACGGCGACGACAAGTTCGGACGGACGAATCTCGGCGGCGATGCTCAGGATGACGACGAACGAGCTCAGGATGACGACAATGGCGGAGCTCAGATATGGATAGCGGAGCTCGAAACGAACGTAGCCACGGACGGACGAATCTCGACAGCAGTGCTCGAGACGATGACGACCGAGCTCAGGATGAAGACAATGGCGGAGCTCAGATCTGGACAACGGAGCTCGAAACGAACGCGGCCACGGACGGACCTCAGGATGGCAGCGTACGCGACGACGGTAGAACTCGGCATGAGTTGCTCGATTTAGAGCTCGGATTGAGCTCGACAAGCCGCTCGATATGAGACGAGTCGAGATCGAGTTCGGATTTTGAGCTCGACTCAAGTTCGAGCTCAGCTCGAGCCTCGGTATCCTGGGCAGCGATGCTCGACTCGAACAACCTCTGGCTCGGCTCGACTCGACTCGACTCAATTTCACCCCTAATTAATAGTGATATTTAAAATGTTTGGGAATAAAAATGACAATTTTATAAAGAGAAATGACTAAATTTATTGGATATTTATTCAATGTTGGATAGTTTAAACGAATTTTAAATGTAATACTCTCACAAAAAATTTTGAATGTAACATAAATTAAATATATTTTAAATATTTAAAATAGTGTTAAAAGCATTTGAATACTTTCCAAATTAAATAAGCAATGACAAAATAATAATTTTGTCTATGATTAAAAACTTAATCAAACAAACACAACACACACACATATAAATATATATATATATATATATATATATTAATAATATATATATAAATATATATATATATATAAGTAAAGACTTCTTTAAAGATAAAAGGTAGTGCTTTTGGTTGCAACCTAATTGAAAAAAAAAAACTAAAATATGATAGAAGTTAGGGGGTATAGAATGATCAAAAATTAAACAACAAAAAAAAAGATATGTGAAGAATTTTTATCTTCGAATAGCATGGCTTATCATCCCAAATTGATATATATAGACTTCATAACTTTTTTAGTTATAATAAAACTCTAAAGATATGAGCCTATAATATGTGAAAAAAATCAATAGTTAAAAAAGTTCTAGTACAAGCTTGAATGCAAACAAGCCAAAATGTTTATGTAAACTAACCAAAATGTTATTTTAACACATGCTTTAAAAAAAAGGCCATAAAATCATTTTTTAAGAATGAGAAAAACTCTAAAACAACAACAACAAGCAGTTTAACCCACTATGTGGAGTCGGCTACATGTATTCATGTTTTTCTACATTGTGCCATGTTAAAAGTTAAATTCTCATTAAAATCTAATAAAGAAAGGTCATTTCTAATATTTTTCTAGCAAGTATTTTTAAGGTCTACTTACTTTCTTACATAAGTAAAATCTAATACATCTACTTTCCTAACAGGGTCATTGAAAGGCGCCGTTTTGTGGACCAAACATTTAAGAGCGACTCATCTCTAATCTTACTTCCATTGGAGGCTAATCCCAATCATTTCATGTATATGCCCATTTCATATCATCTCCCTAAAGAGTAAAGCCACTCATCCACCTCGCATGCCTCATCTTGTAAACACTTTAACTTAAATATTATGCTTCTCTTTTAATGACGCAGCATTCTGCACCATAAAGCATTGCAGGTATAACCACCATCTTATAGAAATTTCCCTTAAGTTTGAGGGAGACTTTTATATCACACAACAAGCCCGATGCATTCCTCTACTTCAACCATCCAACTTGAATTCTACTAATAATATCCATCTATTTCACCATCACTCTGAACAATAACCCAAGATATCTAAAAGGTGTACTCTTATTAATGACTTGATCACCGAAGTCACCAATCCCCACTAGAACTATTATTACTAAAATTACACTACATATATTCAATTTTTAAATCTACTAAACGAAAGCCTTTAGACTCTAAGGTTAACCATCATAATTCATGTTTACTTAACTCCCTCCCTAGTCTTATCAACAAGAAGAATATCATCATCAAAAAGACATACACCAGGGTACAAAACTCTTGCAAATGTCTAGTGAGAACATCCATGACTAAAGAAAAAAGATATGGGCTTAAGGCTGATCCTAGATGTAATCCAGCTGAAATATGAAAATACTTGGTCAAGCCCAACTTATGTTTGAACACAAGTAACAACTCTACATACATATCTAAAATAACTTGAATATAAAGCATTATTAAACCCTCTTTCTTCTTAGAAATCTCCTAACATAGCAACTTCTCCTTTAATACTTTATCATATATTTTCTCATATAAATAAAATATCATATAGTAGACCCCATTCTCTGAATACCTCTCCATCCAACCTCTCATATAAATGATAGCTTCCTAGTAGACCTATCCGGCATGACCAAATTTGATTTTAAGAAACATTAGTATCATGTTGTAAACTATGCTCAAATACTACTAATCCCATTAAATTTTAAAATATGGCACTATAACTTAATTTCTGATAATTACGCACAAATCTTGTGATCACACTTTATTCTTAAAATAGAAATCAACACACTCCCACCATCATCTGAACATCTTTTCAGTATAAAATAATATTAAAAAGTTAGTAAGCACAGGAATGATATATCAATCTCCTTATAGCATTTTCACATCCTCTCTGGAAATATAAAAAATCTTCAGTTTTAAAGCCTCTCTAACTCAGTTTTTACCAAATATGTTGATAAAAAAAAAAATTCTTTAATTTTCAATTTAAGGTGCTAAGGCACTAAAGTTTAATCGCAATCTCAACAATCTTCATTGAAAAAACTTGATCAAATATCTCATCCACCTTTGTTGAATATCCTCTTTTACTAAAATTGCTTTTTGACCTTCCTTAATGCACTTTACTTTGAACTAAATTCTTACTACTACCTACCTCTTTGTTTGGCTATATATATATATATATATATATATATAATATTATATATATATAATATTAGAATATCATCAGGTTCAACATCTCTCCCACACTTAAATTTTTCTTAAAGCCCTCTAACTTTAGTTTTACTATATGGCCTGATAAAAATAAAAATCTTTATTTTCATTTAAAGGGTGCTAAGGTCACTAAAATTATCATAATCTCAGAATCTTCATTGAAAAACTTAGACAAATATCTCATCCACCTTTGTTGAATATCCTCTTTTAATAAAAAAGCTTTTTGACATTCATCATTAATGCACTTCACTTTAACTAAATCCTTACTACTACTATCTCATTTGTTGGCTAACTTATATATATATATAATATATATATATATAATAGTATAATATATATATATATATATATATATTATTATATATATATTATATATATATATATATATATATATATAATATATATCTTTTGTCCTCCTCAGTATCTAATTTATTATTATAAATCAATTAAAAACTAAAATTTTTACGTCGCATATATTTCTTAGACTCCTTAGGGCCTCTTAATATTTTTTCCCCATTTTTAGAAATTTTATATTAAACAATTTTTATAACAAAGTTTCTTGTTTTTTATCTCTTATAAGCGATGTTTATACATTAAACTTTCACCGAAATTTAACTTTTACAATCTTTTTAAAATCTAAACGATCTATTTTTCTTATAAGAAAATAATCCATTTGAGTTTATATATTCAAATTCTTATAAGTTAATGAAGATGCTCGTCTCTTTTCTTAAATAAAGGTATTATAAGTAATAAAATCATAAGCTATAGCAAAATCTAATATAGTATTAACACCTTCCTTAATTGCTCCAAACCCATAGTCATCATGAATGTTTCTAAAATCATCTGTCTCTATACCAATATGTCCAAATCTCTTCCAATAAAAACTTCTTCTTCAAGAGATATCTTTTGTAATAATTCTTCTAAGTAATTCAAAATTTTTAATTTTAAACACATATCTAAACCTACTTGAGGAGCAAAAGCACCTATAATAGTAATAATATTAGCATCAACAACAATCTTTAAAGCTATAATTCTATCTTCAATTCTAATAATTTTTACAACATTATCTTTTAAACTCTTATCCATAATCACACCTATATCATTTCTAGAAAGACTTCAAAAATATTAAATAAGTATTACATTCAATATTTGTTAAAAATTCTAACCTCAAATTTAATCAAAATATATATTATTTTAAACAATAAATAAAAACAATTTAAAATCAAGTATTAAATTAACTTTAATCTTATTTAATATTTTGCTTGCTTTAATAAATTTATAATATTTTGATAGTGTGCACCTAGGGCGCCAACATTTTAACTGATGATGTGAAAATGTCCCCTCTTAATTCAATATATACAAATTTGGGTAAATTCCTCAATGTTATCCAACTTTGACTATTTTTATCAGTAACTACACAAAAGATAAAATGGCAATCAATTCTCTAGCAACTCTCCTAGCGCATACAGCATATCGCTCCAGCACAGCACAAGTTGTTAATATGATAATCAGATCTTTTAGTAAGGCCTCAGTAGGCTAATCTGCCTCTATAATGCAACCAACATGAATTTTATAGAATCACCATTAGGCTCATAAGAATACTCAAAACTTAGACTTCTCTAAAAAAATTAATTATTTCTTGATCGATTCATAATCAAATCAAACAAGTCCAATAAAAAGTAACATTTTTTCTTGGTCTTCTGCAAGCTGTCTGATTATATTATGAAACACCATACAAAGTGGTTCAAGGCTGCAGAAGCTACTGAACAGCTTGGTCCGATGTTTGACATATAAGATGGTGAAGGGGCAAAAAATTTTTGAAAAAGTGTGCGTCTGTGAAATCATTCCCCTCCCTCCCTCAGCATATGGAATAAGGCCTTAACAAGTGAAACAACTGAAAGGGTGCGTTGAAAAGGTGCATATAGTGGACATTCCTGAAGTCATCTACTTTTATATAGTCCTATCTATTTGCAATATGTAAATGTTAGGCACAAAATTAAGAGATAGATAAACTCAGAGCCCCTTTGAGCAAGAAAACAATGACATTAAAGAATTAAAAAGCACTATATTTAACACAATAAACTAATAGAAAATCATGCCGAGAAGAAACAAAAAAAGGAATCAAGTAGCTTGGGAGGAGAACCTTTGTAGCAGAAATAATTAATAAAATCACATGAAAAATAGGATCAACACGACTTCAAATGCAAGGAATGAAGAATGTGTGAATATAGCATAAGGCACTTGACAAGGATTTATTAGAGACCATTGTCTTGTTAGAGAAAAACACAAATTTATTATTTTTTGAATTTCTAAATGTTAGGCAGAAAAATGTGTCATTCGAAATATGATAGTAGTCCCTTCAAATGCCAATTCTAACTCTTTCTTGTTTAAGTAGACTTCTGAAGTCTATTGAGTGATTACAATTATCCTAATTTTCAAAATCCTCATAAGCATCATTTATAAACCATCCTTGGTAACCGTAGATATAGTAGTCACTGTCTTACATCCACAACTGGTGAATCAGCTATTGCACTCCAATTAGCCTATCAGCATAAGATATCATGTTTCGTCAGATCAAGACAATTCCTTTTTTGTTAAAATTGACTTATGTGGTCATTTACTCTGTTGTAAGAGCTATTAATAGTTTCTTTATCTTGAGGTTATTTGCATAATTTTCAGTTTATGCAATTACCTTATGGTGTGAGTGCATAATTATAAATACACCCTCACTCATTGTTGTAAGGACGTTTCAAATCATTTTCAATTTTCCTATGAAGTTTTTCCCTCTTATTTTTCTTCTTGTAATTTTCAGGTTTCCTTTTCATGACTGGTAGAGAATTACAGGCTTTGATCAAGAACCCAGAAAGATTGATTCTCACGTTCCTTATTGTTTACAACAAAGAGTCCAGCAGGGAGAATTATTGAAGAGGATGTTGTTTTCGTGTAAAGATGGTGGTCTGGCTCATGGATATGCAATGTATATTGCATGAAGAGGCACTGCTGAAGGCTACAATTATTGTGATGTTGAGGACTTCCACTCCTTAATGATTCAGTGAAGGCAACAAGTTGAAGAGGGCCACGCAAAGGCATTTCTTCTCCTAGGCAAAGGTAATCTAATGACAATTTTGTGAAGTTGGAGGGCTATTTTGGAGAATCCAGAAGCTAAGTTCAATGACAGTGTAGTATGTGTGTCTATTCATCTATACTCTCTTCGTAGTTTTTCAAAAACACGTAGTTTTCTTCTATATATTCGTTACTAGAATTGTAACCAAACATCCTTCGGATTTTATTCAAGAATTCTTCTCAAACATCAAGTATATTAAGAATTTAAATCATGATCACATGCTCTACTGACATTATGCTCATTCCATGGTTTTCATCATGTCTTCCTGGTAATATTAAGCTTTGCATTATAAAGTAACATTAAGTTCACGAACTAAGAATTTTCTTTCTGAATGAAAAAAATTACCTTGCAAGTTTCTTTAACCTACTTTAATTGCTGCACTGTAAGTTCAGCATAACATAATTAGAGGATGTTAAAGTTCCATCAATAAAAATATTAGTAGTAACCATTTGGAGCATATTCAAAAAATAATTTCAAATGCATTCATTAAAGAATAAGGAGCATTTCCTACAAGGAAAATGCATTCCAATTGTGAATCATGAAGTGATGAAACAAAGGGAAGTTTAGAGAAAGAAGCAACCAAAAAATTGAAGTGACTGATAACTACAACCATTCAAATCCTTCTTAAAATGAGAAAATTAAGTACATATATAGTTTTCTACTTTTATTTGAATGTTGAAGTGGAAAATCCACCATCCTAAATAAGTTGAACTTTCTCAGAAAGTGTGAAAAATATTAAGTTTTTTTATCATCATCAATGAACAAGTGTGGCGCTATAAGAAAATTTTAGTTGAGGGCCGTTCCTCTTTTTGATAAAGAGTGCAGTCATTCATACTCCACAGAAGCGTGGCTTTACCTAATTTTTGAGGGAAAGCCAGGTTTCACAAGAAGATAAATATTACAAAAGATTGGAGGTGTTAACCTCCTACTCTTGCGGTAAACAGATCGAAAAAAAAAAAGATGATCGTTCTAATTCCGTCCAGTTCCCCTAGTTTCATGAGCAAAGATGATTGCCATTGGATTAACAATAACATAAATTCAAAGGTAAGGGGCCAAAAACCTTTACATGGTAGGAAATGTGAAGAAATGAAAATTTGCATAGTGTACAAGTACCAAAGCAATCATGAATGAACATAACAATCTGCTCCCTACTATACAATACACCCAAATAACTATATACTAATTCAACCTTTCCTCCTCTGCCATCACCAAAAGCCATCAATAATTCACATTTAGTATGCCCAATGTTCAAAACGCAAAAGATGCTAAACACGATTTAATTTAAAAAAGGGTTACAAACTGTCACTTTTAGAGATATCATATATATGTAATATTTATTGTATTACATTTTGCTCCTCTCTTACTTCAACAAGCAAATTCCTATCAAAATCCAAACCAAAAAAAATATTTAAATAAGCACATATTATCAAATATTTTTCAAAACGTGCGATGCAATCAAAATTTTAGGAAAAATCTAAGATTGCAAACACAATGATCTTCCTTTCAAAACATATCAACATAAAAAAAGACAACTCAAACGAACTATACTTTCTTAAAAACACAATATAACTATCAATAAAAGGACACAACATGAAACACACGAAACGACACCTTACAATTTGTGATGGAAACGGTTAAAACACCTTACAATGATTCAACCCAACTTATATTTTTTTAGAGAAGAAGGATACAAATGGAGTGGAAACTTGCAGAGAGAATAAATAGATAAGAAGCCCGATACGAAATCATAGAGAGGAGAAGAGAAGGGAATACATAGCTCGCAAGCTATCAAAAAAACCCTCAGGTTTTCTTTCCAAAAATCACTCCATAACATATTCTTTTTAAAGTCTCAAATCAGCAACTAAATATAGAAGAAAAGAGGGAACCAAACAGCCGCCCATGGTATCCAATCAACAAAGGGAAGGCAGAAGGCCAAAAGATAGCTGAAGGGAGCAGCACCCGAAAGGCCAGCAGGACAAAGCAACCAAACAGACAGCGCCAAGGGGAAGGAACTGGGCAAGCAGAGGAACCGAAGGGCCAAAATAGGGGGGGTTTACCGGGCAATCAGAGGACAGAAGAGGCCAAAACAAGGGGGATGAACCCAGCGGCCATCAAATCTGCCGCTAACCCCCCGGCTTTGCCTACATCAATGTGGCATTATACTTGTAACATGTCGATTAGTGAGAATTTATTAAAGTGGCATTAGGCTTCATTATTTTAATCAAATTTAGACTAACATATGATTAATTTTCCAATGGAAAATACCGTATATAAACTAAAAAATTCGAGAACATACTAATAAAATAAACCTCCAGTTAGCCTCTCAATTTCACACAAGTACTAAAAACATATACAGATCTAAACTGTGAACAACTGACAAACGAATAGCTACAATGAAGTATACAATAGGTAAGAACCCGAGCACCACATCCTCCATTTGTGTGTGTTTGCAAACACGGTGGACAAATCTCCCCTCAAAAGCTTCTCGAAGATAAAATAAGAATGATCGAGCAACTTCTATTCATTAATCAATGTCGATCAAAAAGCATATTTAACTACCAAATATAAATATTATAGCTGAGGTCAACGAATAAGCGAAACTGTATATAAAAAACTCACTGCTTTCTCACGAGCTCCGAGCTCGATGTGGTACCCACGACGCAGGATATGATCCGGTCCCTCTCCCTGCATCAAAATCGTCACTGAGACCAAACTAACAACATGAATCGGCCAACGCAGAGATTGATAGGGTTAGGGCATTAAAGGAGAAAAGCTTCACCTGAAAACGGGATCGAAAGCTTGAAAGAATGGTTGAGTTAGAAAGCGAAAAGGCCATCCTTGCGCCGAACGGGTGATCGAGGGAGCACGCAGAGAGAACGACGTGCTTCTAGGGCAGCGATGACTGGGTCGGATATCTATCTATGTAAATCACTAAATCCACTACTTCCATTATAGAGGTAAATTTGGCCAGCTATGATTCATTCTGCACTAATACACGTAATTGATTCAAGATAATAATAACTACTATTTTTTGGGGATTACACGAGTCTTAGGCTTCGTTTGGGACGGTTTTATTTCTACTTCTTAAAACAGCTTTTTAGTACAAAAAATTTAAATTTTGTACTATAAAGATGTTTTAAGAAGCATAAAGAAAGCCGTTCCAAACGAAGCCTTAGACTGTCCACTGCATCAAAAAAAATATTTAAAATTTATTCTTTTGTGATGCACTTATATATTTACGTAATGATAAATAGGCTCTTAAGCATTTAAAATGGATTTGAATCATTGTTCAACCTATATTTAAATTTGTTTAAAATTGATTCCAATCAATAGTGTGCAAGAATGAGAGTGCTAGATATCATCATGTGAGGGACAAAGAAAAGTAATGAGGTTTCTCAATAAGATATATGGTGTGTTATATAGGGGATTCGTAATAGAGCTCGTTGTCAAAGACATCAACTGGATTTGCACATCTAATTGAGAATAAGGGTTTTCGTGCAAGCTCATTTGGGGAAGGCATCGATGCTACCAACTCATGTGAAAAAGAGGAGTAAGTAATTCACACGAGCTTGTTATGAGAAGACATCAGTTGTACCAACATGTATAAAGGAGAATAGTACTTTGCATTATAGTAAGGCATCGGGGATCATAGCAGTACAATCGTAAAGTATATAAGATCACATACAAAATATCATAAGAGTTCATATGAACAAATCTATAGCAAAAACAATATGATATATATCATGGATGTCATACATGTTGGTTATGTTTTAGAAAAAATAGGTAGCACAATAAGTAAATATCATCATCCACATTCTACACATGGCAAATATTATATCTCATATATAGTTGGAATGCATATAAAACACAATATTCACTTGCTAAGTTTTAAAAATATTAAAATTTATACAATGGAACCCATCAATAAGATATGAAATCCCCATTTCATTGAAAGTCGTATAAAAAAGTAAACTATTCAATGTTCACACAGGGCATCTAAGACTATAAATTTTAAGTATTTAAATAGGGTGTCAATATTTGACACACCTGAAATCTGACCCATAAAATTTTGGATTTGTGTCAACTCGTTTGATATACGGGTCAGGTTCGGGTTTAGAATGCCAACCTGTTTCAATAACCGGCTGGTTCGGGTTGACTCGGAAACCTGAAAGTGACCCAGCGACCCATTTTGAAAACCTTAGGCACAGTTGCTTGCCTATACCACTATTATGCTTGTTCGCTAGCCTACACAGCTCTCACGACACGGTTTTTGCCCTCCATCATTTGCTCGCACAGCTTGTTCGACCATCTGACTTCCACCGTCTAGCAGGCCGAGGCGGCAGCTTGTCCGACCATTAGTATTTAATAATTTAAATGTTTTTTATGGTGTGTAAATTTTTTTATTATAGCTAAAAATTTATAAATTAATAACCAAATAAAAATTAATTTTAACACTAGCAAAATCTAATAAACTTAAATTTAGATATGATTAACAATTATGTTTTATTATATTTCAATCCACAAAAAAGTTAAAAAATTTTTTTTTTCAACTCGAAGATGACTCACTCAAAATTAGCAACTCAACTCAAAATAGACTCCATAATTATACAAAGATGCATATATGATTTATACATTTTTCTCATAAATAGAGATAGAGTGTTATTCATTTAGAAGAATAAAAACTACTTATCCTCATATTTTTTAAGATCTATTATAAAATTTGAATGATTAAAGTTTAAAATTAAAAAAAGAGAAAACTTATGAATACTAAAAATTTTAAAATTGAGATAGTTCACTAAAGATTTATAATACAATTTATTTTATTCTTCTAAATAAATAATAATATATAACTCTCTCTACATATATTATTTTAAGTTTTAAAAATAAAAAATTGTAGTTAAAAACTATGGCCTAATCAATTTAAAAAGAAGTATTTACATTCATACCATAAAATTTTAATATATTTTGATATCTAATATTTTAAACTTTATATTTATTTTTATACAATTTGTGCAGCTTATTTTGATCTTTAAACTTTCAACTGAAATATATTATGTTTGAAGCTTGTATATGTGATATTTATGAATTTGTGCTCTCAATTAAAAAAAAAACATTTATACCATTTTAACAGTTAAATTAAATCAAAATATTTACATGAAAGAGCATATTTTACTTTAAGCAAATTAATATTAATAATATTTTAAATCAATTTAAAAATTTGAATGTTTTATAAATAAATTATAATTATTTAAATATATATAGATAAATATATAAAAAATTTATGAAAATAGTATAAAATCTGAAATTGATGATTTCTATAATGCCAGAAATAAAGAAATTTAACTCCAAATCTATTTGTTTTATACTAATAAATAAAATCCAAAGCTGCTAGCTCCATCGATGTCCTCTCACCGTCTACCTAGCCTCTCGCTCTCTTTATCTCTACTTCTCCTCTCTCGTCACTCTAGCCCAATCTCCAGTCCTCGAGCACAATCACAATACTACATGCATTCTCTTCGCCATGGTCTCCTCGCGCCGTCGCATCTTTCTCAACCTCCCGCAGCGGCTACTTCGGCCTCGCGGGCCCTCTTCGTATTCGGCCGCGCTGCTGCTTCACCTCTCCACGCAGATGCGTTTGCCACTGCATGGTGGCGACCCTTCTCCACTCAGCCTAAAGGCTGTCGAAGAGATGTGGAGGGCGAAGGAGGAAGCTTTTCGCCGAGGAAGTGTCTCCTGGAAGTCGCTGGGTATCTCTGACCACCTTATCCGAGCTCTCGCCGGCGTTTCCCTTCACAGGCCTCTGCCGTCCAGGTAACTCGCTCTTCTTCTCTAGCGTCTTTTGGGTTAGGGTATTCGTGTTGTTTTTTTTGGCTGCTTTTTATTGCACTTATAATGTTCGACTTATGCCTCCAACAGAATTGCAGTTCTTAGGGCTGTTTTAAACTTTTTAATGCCTGAATTTTGGTAGGCTTAAGGTTGCTGGGCACCTGAGCGTGATGTTACCATCTGATTTCAGCTTGAGTTGGTAGATTCGATTAAAGGGCAGAAATGCCCTTCCACAAAATGTATAAATAAGCCCTTATTCCGTTTATTCGATGCATTCTGGACAATTAAAGCAAAGATGAAATCCCCGGATGTAAAAGATTATAGGTTCAGTGTAAAAAATTGTCCATGGTGTTTTTTGGATACATATTAAGCCGCCTCTTGTAGGTGCCTGGTCCTTTATCCTTCCAGGAGAAGGACTGCTTCGACCACCTCCTCATCGGCTGGATCCAGGCTGCTCACAGATTCCAATTCTCCTAAAGTTTGAAACCAGACCGGACATAGAATCTGAAGAAGAGAGTTTTAGCGTTCGGTATGCGATTTAGGCCGATTGGGCGAAATCCAGCCAAAATACCTAAAATGCAAAATCAAATCTCACAGTAAATGAAAGTCGCGGTTGACGGAAATTCCCTCTTTTCGTGGTAAATCCCGGATTTTACGAAATCCTTTGTTCGGTGGATTACGGGATTTTGGCCGAAGAAGCGCGCGAAAGGGAGAAAGTTACCTTCACAGCAAGCGAGCTCCCGTTGTTGCTTTAGATAAAAAAAAATGTCGTAACTTCCAATCCAACAGGAAGGTAATGTCGTAGAAGGAGCAAAGTCGAACGGCGACGTTGAGAACTCCGTGAAAAATTAGGTGCAAGAAGGAACAAAGACGAACGAAATACAGAGGAAAAGTAAAACCTAGACACTTCTAATTGTTGGAATAATTAATTTAATTTAAATATTAATAATTAAGTGAAATTAATTAAATGATATTTAAATAATTGATAAATTTATAGTTAAATACTTAGTTATTTCAAAATAATTAATAGGATTAAATATATCTTAAAATAAAAATAATTATTATAAAATATTATAAATAATAATTAAATAATTATATAGTATTATAAGTTTTGTTATATTTTTATTTAAACTTTTCTGTCCGTGCTTTAATTATTCTTAATAATGTATGTTAACTCTTTTAACCGCCTTAAATTCCTATATTGAACAAGCCAAACATCACACATATGATTTAACTGGATTTATCATGAATGTTACCAAACAATTTTCAAGGATTTAAACCCCCTAGGATTTCGTAATCCGGATTTGGAGGATTTACAAAATCCTAACTTAAATAAAATCCTAGATTCTACCAAACAGACCCCCTTAAGGTTCAATGGTTCAAATGGGCTCAAACATAATGATATAATAAAATTAAAATTATTAAATAATATTTATATGATAATAATAAAATATAATAATTATTTATAATATAAGTTTGTAACTAAAAATACTTGGTTAAAAAATATTAGAAATGATACTGTCTTATTAGGTTTACATGAGAATTTGACTCTTAATAAGAACCATGGAGAAAAAAGATTCATGTTGCATAATCCACATAGTGGGATAAAGGCTCGATGTTATTGTTGTTGTTATTATTATTTTTTAAGTACGAATGATCTAACATGAATTTATATATTCAATTTTATGCTGTAAATTATATATATATATATATATATATATGTAGGTGTAAAATATAACATAAAGTAACAATTGTTTATATTAAATTTGTAAATTATATGTAAAATAATTTTAAGCTAAATGTAATTAAATTTAAAATTATTGAATATATTATTTGTGTATGAAATATGAATTGTATTTATTTTTTAGTCATAAATTTACATTATTGCATAATTATTATATCATTTAAATATTATTTTAATAATTTTAATATTTATTGCATCATTTAGTTTAACTTCAGTTGAACATCTACATCTTCCGATTCTATGTTTGGTCTGGTTTTCACAATCTTGTGTGAAATGATTGATTGGTGTTTCTTTGGCAAATGATTATTTTAGGAATTTAATACTTGTTTAAAACTAAAATATATTACTAAATTTAATATTTTATTCTAAATACAGTTTAAATAGTTCATGATTCAAAGGAACCAGGATCGATTTACCAGTTCTCAATTTGAATGGTTGTTTCGACCGGTTCATTCCGATTCAATGTATAATTAGCTTTTTAGATGGACTGAATTAATCATATGATTGGTCCACGTTCGAACCAGTCAAATCAGCTGGTTCGATTCGGCTTTTAAAATCTTGGTTCTCCTTGTTCTCCTTTTTCCCAGGAGAGGGACTGAGGGACCATCCCATCCATTTCTTCCTGCCATCTCAATATTGGTTCTCATACAAATGATTTCTCTAGTTTGTAAATCATAACTTTTATCAATAAAATTGTTTCAACCGGGCTAGGGACCATAAATTACTCAATGAAGCTCAAACATTTGATATTATATATTCACACCTAATTTTGTGAAGTACAAGATTGATTATTATAATATTAGTACACTATAAAATCAGTCAATATGTTCTCACCTTTTTTTTTTTCTGTTAAAAGAACTAGTAGTGTTTTTTTCTCTTCTGTTCATATTTCCTCCTACCTACCATGAAACCATTTGAAAGTCTCCAATTCTTTTTCTTTTTTAATACTAGGTGCAGGTGGATCCCCTTCTTTTTCTAAAATGTCTCATTTTTTTTTTGCATATCTTGCTCTCAATTCTTTTAGTATTTACCTTCTTGCGATAAAGATCACCCATGTTTTTCATGCTTTTCCCCATTCCTATATTATATGAATGGGTCTTAATTAACACACCACCCTGGGCTTTGCAGGCTTCGTCCATACCACACATACTAACAGGAAGTGATGTTATAGTTGCCGCAGAAACCGGTAGTGGCAAGACACATAGCTACCTGGTTCCTTTGATTCACAACTTATGCGGTGATTGTAATCTTGAAACTAGCAATTCTAAAGAAATTACTGAACCTCACAGAATGTCTTTGGTCCTTTGCCCAAATGTGATGCTTTGTGAGCAAGTAGTTCAGATGGCAGACTGTCTTGTAAGTGATTCTGGTAAACCACTCCTGAAAGTTGCTGCTGTATGCGGGCAGCGAGTAAGTTCAACTGCTTAAGCCTTTATCTTTTAAAGTGATTATTTGATTATGATAATCTGTAATAATTTGTTTGATCACAGATCTTGTTGGAATTTTGCTCGTTATGTTTTTAGACTTTATTTGATGGATGAATTGCAAGCTTGATTTTTTTTTTTAATTTGGTTAAACTACACTTCTAATAACTGTGACTTGATTATAGGGATGGCCTGTAGCTGCGCCCGATATCCTAGTATCCACCCCAGCTTCTCTTTTGAACTATCTTTTTGCATTTGACCCGGATGAAAGGCGCCGTGATAGTTTCTTGCGCAATATAAAAGTTGTGGTAATCGTTTCTCTTGATTACATTTTCTTTGAAAAAAGTTGGGGATTTGGTTGCATGTTTAGTTCTGTTTTGACTTTTGATTTGTCTTGCCTTTTTTACTGTCAACCTTCTGCAACCTCCATATGCATGGACTGCATAGTTTACGGTGTGAAATAATTTGCCTTTGAGAGAAATTATTAGGTTCGGACACCGGACAGGGAGAATCATCTGGATTTCTCTCTGTTTACAGTAAAAGCATAGTCAAAACGCGGTTACTGTAGCAGCTGCGCTTTGACTGTAGACAGAGAAATCCAGATGATTCTCTCTGTCCGGTGTCCGCACCTAATAATTTTCCCTACTTTGAAGACCTGTAACTTCTTTTGTTCATTATATATGAATTCTTCAGTGCTGCTTATATAGCAGTTCTGCAGGACAATAAACATCTTACTATTTGTCTTGTGGTCACAGGTATTTGATGAGGCAGATTTACTTCTTTGCGGAAGCTTTCAAAACCAAATTATCCGAATATTAAATATGTTACGTTTTGATGAGAAGCTGTTGTCTCAGATGCAAAGCTCAGAAAAGCATCTTTTGAAGGATGCGAGTAAAAAACATGAAATGAAGTTTGGATCTGAAGATGAAGAACAGCTGCATCTTGCTAGCGACCAGGATGATGAAAGTGAAAATGATGTACTTGATCTTGAAAGTTCCATAACCAGTGTCAGTAAAATTCAGTCTCCAGCTAAGGACTGGCGGAGAGTTAGAAAAGTTTATGCGCGCAGTAAGCAGTATATCTTTATCGCTGCCACCCTTCCTGTAAATGGTAAGAAAACTGCTGGTGGAGTGTTGAAAAGAATGTTTCCATATGCCATTTGGGTCAGTGGGAATTTTCTTCATAAACACAATCCTAGGTCTGTGGTATTTATCTGGTCATACTTAATTGATTTCAATGACTTCCTGATTTTGCTTTTACGTGAGTTTTCTTTATTCTTTTAATGCATTCAAATGTTCATTCTATTATGACTATGATCACACAGATTATCGAGAATATGTTGCAAATCATGCTTGCTATTAACATACCATTTATAGGTGTTTCTGGTTAAATCTACTCCAAAAAGTATTCGAGTGCTTGCACTCATTTTATTTATTCTTTTCTATTTTTGTTTACTAACTTTATGCAGCTGTCTCATGGCGGATGATCTGACCAAAATGCAGCTAGATTTACATTTTCAGATCATTTATTTTTGCGATCTTAAGTGCTCTTCTTGGATATCTATTTTGAGTGATTTGGTTTGCGGCCTCCCTAAATAAAATTTGTGCCATATTGACAGGCCATTTGGGTCGATTAAAATTTGGAATATATAATGTTGGGTCATAGATCCTTACCCTAGGCTGAGCCTATACGGACATTTATTTTTCCTGGTTGAAGCCGATCAATAAGGATTTTGAGTTTTCGACTTGCCCGTAGAGAGCATCTGGTAGGAATCTGTGTGGAAAAGTGGATGATTTTGTATAAAATACCCAAGCACAGTTATAGTTCTGATTTTGACAAGCTAGTTGGGCCCATTTGCAGGTCTAGTTCTCCAATGTTGTGCCAAAGTCATCATGTATTTGCATTTTCTAGCTGCTAGATATTGGTTATTTCTGTTGATATTCCTTTTATCACTAAAATAAGTTATGCCCGCTTTAAATTTTTTAAAATTAAGATACTTTTTTTTTCTTTGAAAGAGGTGTGAAAGAGCAATGAAATGGTTCTGATAAACCTCTAGATTGACATTCACCAACAACAGAAACTTTAAGCCTTTATCCCTCTAGATTGACATATTGGGTAGAAATATCTTCGAGGCTATATACATCTCTTAATGACCAAAACAAGACTACCAAACAGTTTGACCCCTTGGCAAATCATAGCTATTCCCACTTTGCGCCTTATAAAGATTTTTTCATGTAACAAGGCATGTCTACTTAAATGTGATTTGGAGTAAATGGATTGTCTTGTGTGATATGACAATATTACTTCAGGGTTGCAGATCATCTATTTAAGTCTTGAAGCATCCATCAAAAGTCCTTAAGAAATATTTTATTGAGATACCATGCCATTTGACTGTATATGCTCATGTTATATTTGTATAAATTGTGTAGTATGTAAAACATTTTGATCTCTACTTTCTGAGGCCCTACTAAAGTTGTATTGTATGGATTATATAATTACGTTTATAAAATTGAATACATGGAGTGTAACTTTAGTAGTTTGAGATCTATTGGTGGGATTGTAATAATGGGTGATCAAGTCATTGAAAAGAGTGCACATTTTAGATAAATTAGGACTATTGTTCAGAGCAATGGTGAAATAAATGCGGATATTATTTGTAGAATTCAAGTTAGATAGTTGAAGTGAAAGAATGTATTGGACCTATTTTGTGATAGAAAAATACCCCTCAAACTTAATGAAAAATTTTATAAGATGGTGAGATTTGCAATACTTTAGGCGCATAATATTGGGCATTAAAAGTGAAGAATAAAATTAAGTTAAGTGTTGCAGAGATGAGAATTTTCAGGTGGATGAGTGGCTTTTTTTTTCACTTAGAGATAGAATGCGAAACAAGTATATACGTGAAAAGGTTGGAGTATCTCCAATAGCAGATATGATTAGAGAGAGTCTTATTAGATGGATTGGTCACATAAACTGCCATGTTTCTGATGACCCTGTTATGAGAGTAGATGTATTAGAGTCAGCCTATGTTAAGAAAGATTTAGATCAACCTAAAAAGAGTTATTGGAAAGTATTAAAAATGACATTTTTTTTTTGTTATATTTAAATAAGAATTTGACCCTTAATAGGACATAATAGAGAAAAAAGATTCATATAGCCGACTTCACATAGTGGGATAAATGCTTGTTATGTTTGTTTACAAAACAAGCGATACTTCTCTAATAACTTAGTAGGAGTATCATCATCCTTTGATTCTTTGAATTCTTGTGCTAGAATTCTTACATGTTCAACTAATTTGATGTTGCCAAATGTTGTATCATTTTCCGTCCTTTTTTTTTCCTCCTGTAGATTGGAACAAAGATGGATAGAAGTTACTACTGATACTCAGGTAGATGCTCTTCTGAAGGCCGTAAGATCCTGTTATGGGAAAAAACATGGAAGCTTCAATGATGATGTTTGTCGGACCATGGTGTTCACTAATACAGTTGCTGCTGCTGAGTCGGTTGCTAAAATATTTCGTATGGCTGAAATCAAATGTTCTTCTTACCACAGTGAGAGTTCCCTTGAGGAGCGAACCAATAATTTGATAGATTTTCGGGAAAATGGTGGGGTGCTTGTTTGCACGGATGCTGCAGCTCGTGGTCTGGACATACCGAATGTTTCACATGTTATTCAGGTAATTGATTCCTTAATAATGTGCCATGAACTCCAATAAACACCAAACCTGACCGAGAGTATTGATTTCTTGCCAAAATGGAGTAGGTATGCATACATTAGATCATTTAATGGTTCACTCGTTCTGTGATGATTTTATTTAATAGAAGTTACTGCCAAAAATGTTGGTTCCTTAAAATCTCATGGCTTGTAATATGCAAAGGAGTATCCAGTGCATGTGGCTCACATTTATGTGGGTTTTCTTTGATTTATGCAGTCTGTCTACACTACACTTGAGCACACTAGATGTGGCCTAATTGTTGCTCCAGATCAACCCTTTAAGCAAGATATACTTTCTAGAGATTTAATAACGGTTTAAATTTTAAAAGCTTAGATCAAGTAATGCGATCAGATAGATTACCTTTGTAAATTAACATTCTAGAAGTTGAAAACTAATACATTTAGTACAAGAAATGATTAACTGATGCCACTTGGTTATATCTAAACAATGATTTGGTGATATTATTATTATTTTTTGCAAAGATTGTAAGGTTGTTCCAAGATGAACTGTGGAAACATGTTAAACATCAGCATGCTATTTTGGATCTGAAAATTGTTCAATCCAAATACACATAATAGGTTACAAACAAGATGGAACAACCAACAATTATAAAAGTCTACTAAAGAAGAATGAATAAAAATATGCCACATGACAACAATATTGTTTTGGCAACATAAATAATATGGGTTCACATGTATTATAAAACAGTAGTCTAATTTTTTTATTTTAGGTATATCGAGTCTGTAGTAATTTGTTGGTCTACCCAAACATTAAAAATATCTCTCTAGTTGTAAACAAAAGGATTATGAAATAGAATTTCTAGTTTCCCCTTTCTTCTCATACTCTTCTCTTTCTTTGGGAGTTCACACCTACTATAAAGGTGCCTAATCTAGTTGATCCTTCAAGAAGCCTATCAAAGGTGCTCTTGTTGCACAAACCTAACTTTCCCCCTCTTCTTCCTTATGATCAGCTTTCCTCCTTCCAGCTAGCCCCTATCACAACCTTCAGCAAAAATCCTCCATCTTCCACTTTGCTGTGTTATGTGTGGAATATGATTGTGTTAATCAATCTTGTTATTTTGTTGTCTTGGGCCTTAAATCTTGTCGTGCACCCTAGGGGGTGCAGGGGTTTACCCCCAGCTTGGGTTCGGGTGATTTGCAAACAGAATGTTTTTCTTCCGTACAACGCCCAAGCGTTGTGTACCCGAGCGCCCCCCTCCCCCTTGCACTGTATTCTCGAGCGCCCTAGTGCTGAACGTTAGAGAGCAGAGCATCACAACGGTCGAGATATGGTGTCGCAGGGGATCAAGATAAAGACCGAGTACTACAACGCTGAGTGTTTGAGCGTTGCAGCATTATAAACAGAAACTAAGCGTCGTAGCCCCAAACTGGCGCCACAACGCTGCGAGATGGACTCGATAGTTTTCTTTCTCATTTTCTGAGGGGTTGTGTCCCTTAGAGTCATTTTACTTGGCTTTCTCTTGTATTTTTAGTTAGGGCAAGTGTGAGAACAGTGCATGTGAGAAGAGAAACAAGGAGAGAGTGAGAGAGAAGAGAGATATGTACTTATTTCTCCTAATCTTCATAGTGGATATCTTGGTGTGGTGTGGCTCCATGAGTTTTTTTCCCTATTTTGAGTTTTTCCACGTTAAATCCCGATGTCCTTTACTTTTCCGTTGTTTTTACTTTCTTGCTTGTTTCGTCATCGTGGTGTTTACTCCTTATCTCTTCCCAACAACTGGTATCATAGCGAGGTTCTTCATATTGAGTGGGAGTAATGGCGGATGAAGCAAGGTACAAGATTGAAAAGTTCAATGGTTCAAACTTCACATTCTAGAGGATACAAATTAAAATTTGTTGTATCAGAAGAAGTTGTATTTACCATTGGAAGGAATCACCAAGAAGACATATTTTATGACTATGAGGAATGAGAGGTTCTTGACTAAACTACACTATGTTTGATACGACTTTCACTTTCCTCATATATTGCATTCATCATTGTAAATGAGAAGACTACAGTTGATCTTATGGCTGCAGTGACTAAGATGCTGGAGAAGCCATTGGTCTTAAACAAAGTGTTCTTAATGAAGCATTTATTCAATATGAAGATGTTGGACAACTCCATAATGGCAGAACACCTGAATAATCTGAATATTGTGATGAATCAATTGTAAAACCCGAAAGTTACGATCGTAGGTCGTCGCACGCATTTCGATGCGTCGAGCCTGAACTTAAGTGAAAAATCAAAGTTAACAGAATTCGACGAAAATAATTTTATAAAATTATACGCAAAATTCTGATAATTTTGATGTATAGATTTTGTAGTTAATTTCAAGTATTTTGGAAGTAAAAATGTTTGAAGTTTCTTAATACCGAAAATATCCCTATTAAGTATTGAATCGCATATGTTAGTGAGGGTAGTATGGTATATTGGCAATAACTATTTTCCTAAATAGAGGAAACCGGCCCTTCCCCCTTTCATTTCACGCCTAACCAAGCGGAACAAGCGGACAAGTGGCCGGCGGACGGACGGCTAGGGCTCGGTGACGGGCTCTCTGGTGGTGATTTTTCGGTGAAGAATTTAGTTCAAATCGAAGAGGGCGACGAGGGGAATCTAAATGTATGATTCGTTTGAAATGAATCCCTCTCTATCTTAAGATTTTTTAAGATGAAATTTCTAGGGTTTTTCTAGAAAATGCATTTTCTTTTAATTTTCTTTACGAAATTGGTAGGTAATGATTAAGAGAGATGATTTAACAAAATAATCGAAGTTTTGGAGAAATTTTTGGAAAACGAAAAATTAGGGTTTTTTACTAAAACTTAATTTCTATAAAGTGCTTTTACAAAAGTTGTTTATAAAAGCATTAGGAATGATTTTATGACAAAAAAATTTGATTTTTGGTGAAAAATATCATTTTTTGTAATTTCCTAATTTATTAAATCCGAAAATAATTAACCTAATTATTAAATTAGGTTTAGGAGAGAGTTTGATGTGATAATAAGACAAAACTAATAAAAAATAGAGTCAAAATGTAGGATTTTTTATAAATCCAAAAATGCTAATTATATTTAAATAAATTAAGTATTTTGTTATGTGATTTGGATCTTATGTGCAATATTAGGTATTTACTGTTTAGATAAACGACAAGTGTCGGAGCGACGTCGTACGTCGTAGAATTCTATTTTGAAGTCGTTAAGGTAGGTATTTATACCTCATTTAAATTCATAAGTGCTTATATTTTTATGCTTAAATGAAGTTTTATGTGTTTATTTTACTTTTAATTCATGCTTTATATTCAATTATTTAAATAATATCCTGCGATTTCATATTTCTATATTATGCATTAATTGGAAAGCATATATATGAAAGCATATGAAGCATAAGAAAAACACTTGAGCATGAAAATATATGAAGCTTAAGAAGAACAATTGAGCATGATTGAATGATTTAAATTAAATAATGATTTCATTTGCATGTTGATCCGAAAGTGTCAAACAAATAGTGATGGGGTTCTACGAAGCCAAATGGTAAATAAGCTTGCAAAAACTAAATGGTAATGGGGTTCTTCAGAATCAAATGATAAAGGAAATGACCAAAATTTGACTATGTATATGATCAATACAAACACTGGTACTTCCAGGACGGATGTATACATTTAACAGAAACATATTTGCATTTGATTTGCATATGAAAATTGTGAAAGTAAAGAATGAAAGAATGGAACGTTAAAGAAAGGAAAATGAAAGTATGATTGAAAATTTAAATGTTATGATCTGCAAAATGATATGAATTGATTTCATTTATAAAAGTTTTTGTTATATGTTACTTATGAAATTAATTGAGTTATGAATTACCTGTTAAGCGAGTAAACTCATCCTACGTTTGAAAATATTTTTCAGGAGAAATAATGAAGAAGTAATGGCTAGGAGACGACATTATACTTACCGTCGTAGAGGACCTCGTGAAGAATAAAGGTTTTTATGTTTTATGTTTTATGTTGAGTCTTTGATTTGTATCTGTGTAGTTTGTGGGAGCTTATGTAACTGTTGATGATTTTAGTTTTTAGTAGTTGTGTGAGAAGAAACAATTTGGGACAATTATGGTATTGATGTTTTGTTAGTAGCTCTTTCTTATTTGATGAGTTAAGGATATTCATATTTTGTTATAAAATGTTAATATGAAATGATTATGTTTATGTTATAATGTTTTTCGTACGATTGTCTGCTCCCGCCTCGTTAATTCGGGTTAGCCGGGTCGGGTCGTGACACAATTGTGTTTAGTTGGCATCAATTTTGATGATGAGGTGAGGGCATTGTTGTTGTTATTTTCATTGCCAGAAAGCTGGGATGAGCTTGTTACTGCTATGAGTAACTCTTCGAGAAGTTCAAAGTTGAACTTTGAGGAAATTATGCGGTTATTGCTTAATGAAAGGTTCGCAGGAGGGCGAACGGTGAATTGTGAATTTTTAAATTATGATTTGAATGTGTAGCAAGAGGAAGGGATTTAAAGAGAAGTCCAAATAGAGGGAGATCTAAATCCAAGAGAGGAAAGTCTACTTCAGGTAGAGGGAAAGTTGTGTGTTGGAGCTATCAAAAGAAGGATCACTTGAAGGACTGTACAATTTCAAAGAAGGGAACTGGTGGAGGTCAAGACAAAAATCATTATGCAAATATATCTACAGAAGAATGTCAGCGAGATTCTATGATTTTATCTATGGACAATTTTGAATTTGGGTGATAGATTCAGGTGCTTCTTTTCATGCAAGTCCTAACAAAGAGGCATTCAAGAACTATACTCAATGTGATTTGATTAAAATGTATCTCGGGGATAACAAGCCCTGCAACATTATTGGACAAGGAGATGTTGATATCAGGATGTCGGATGGTTCAATTTGGAGACTCAAGAATGTTAGTCACGTTCCTTGTCTGAAGTGGAGTTTAGTTTCTGCGAGTCAGCTTATAAACTCAGGCCATGTGACATCATTGGTGACAAAAGGGGCTATGGTTATTGCTCGTGGCAGTATTGAAGGCACCATTTATGTTATCAATAGAAGAGCATATTCTATTGTAGTAGATTCAGATGTTGATGGAGGGCTTTGGCATCGAAGGCTTGGCCATATGAGTAAGAAATGTATGCATCCACTTCTTACTAAAGGAAAGCTTCATGGTTTAAAATCTATATATTTAGATTTTTGTAAAGACTGTGTATATGACAAGCAATATAGGGTGAGTTTTTCAAATATTGGTTCAAAGGTCAAGTCAAAGAAGTTTTAGTTAGTGCATACTGATGTATGGGGTCTTACTCTAGTTACTTCAATAGGAGGATCTTTGTATTTTGTCACATTTATTGATAATCATAGTAGGAAAGTATGGATGTACTTTTTAAAACTTAAGTCAAATGTGTTTGATGTTTTCAAGAAGTGGAAGGCCATGGTTGAGCTTGAGACTGGTCTGAAGCTCAAGTGTCTCATATCAGATAATGATGACGAGTATCATGATAAGGAGTTCAAGGGGTATTGTGATTTGAATGGAATCAAGCATGAGTTCACTATTCTAAGAACACCGCAGCATAATAGTGTTGCAGAGCGCATGAATAGAACTATCCCTAAGCATGCTTGAAGCATGAGGTTACTTGCAGGTCTACCCAAATTGTTTTGGGCGGAGGCAGTGAATTATCCATTTTATTTGATCAATCGTGGTCCTTCAATTCCTCTGAATGAGGGATTACCTGAGGAAGCCTAGAATGGAAAGGAGGTTAGTATATCTCACCTCAAAGTTTTTTGTTGTTTATCCTATGTTCATATAGATGAAAGATCTATGAGTAAGATTGATCCAAAATCAATTAAGTGTACATCCAATGAATATGGCTTAGTTGAATTTGGCTACAAATTTTGGGATTATCATAATCAGAAGTTCATTAGGAGCATGGATGTCAAATTCAATGAAAGTGAAATGTATGGGGTTAAAAATGAGACTCATGAAGATTCTTGCAAATATGTTGAAATTGAGGATGATGATAATCAAGAAGATAAAATTGATAAAGCATAAAGAGTACCCCAAACTCCTGTTACTGAAATAAGGAGATCAAACAGAATCTCAAGGCCAGTACAAAGGTATTATCGTCCCTTGTACTATATATTGCTGATAGATAGTGATGAATCAAAGTGCTATAATGAAGCCATTTCATAGGGATGTGGAGGAGATTGTGTTTAGGTGTGAGATATGTCAGAGAAGTAAGTACATGGCTATGGCTCTAGAGGGATTACTTCAACCCATAGCTCTTTCATACAGAGTATGGGAGGAGGTCATCATGGATTTCATAGATGAGCAACCTCGATCTGAGGGGTTTACAATGATTCTAGTGGTGGTTGACAGGTTAAAAAAATAAGCTCATTTCATTCCCTTACGACACCCTTACACGATTGTGACAGTGGCAACAACATTTAGTAGAGGGTGGTCAAATTATATGGGGTCCCTGACTCGATAGTTTTTGATCGGGATAAGTTGTTCCTCAGCTATTTTTGGAGAGTTATTCAAATTGCATGGCACAGTTCTAAAAAGGATCACCACTTACCACCCTCAGACAGATAGACAAACAGAGGTAGTGAATAGGGGTTTGGAGATTTACCTGCGGTGTTTCGCTTCAAAGACACCTCGGCTGTGAGTCAAGTGGCTAGCATGGGCAGAGTACTGATACAACAGTTTATATAATTTGAGCTCCCATATGACTCCTTTCAAAGTGTTATATGAAAGAGACCCTCCACACTTGGTGTATTTTGGGCAGAGGAGTATAGCAGTCTCTTCAGTATATCAGTATTTGGAGGAAAGAGATAGGGTGTTGGAGGAATTGAAGAGGCACCTATTGAAGAAGCAGACAGATGGACACCAGAAGGATATCTAGTTCAAAGTGAGGGAGAGGGTGTTCTTAAATTTGTATCCCCACAGATAGAGGACGGTCGCCAACATGAGGAATGAGAAGCTGGCCTTAAGTTACTTGGCTAATATGAGGTATTGGAGAGGCTTGGAGCAGTGGCGTACTGCTTGTGATTGCCACCTACCACTACTATACATCTACCCAACTAAAGAGAGTCATTGGGGATCATGCAGCTAGCTCAGAGTTACATGTGACATTGACAAAGAATTTAGAGGTGTTAGTAGAACCACTGAAGTTGAGAGGGTTCTAACAAGGAGACGAAGGGACCAGGAGGTTTTAATAAAATGGAAGAACTTACCAGACTATGATGCCTCCTAGGAGCCATATGAGAGGTTTGAGCATCAATTTTCATCTTTTCACCTTGATGACAAGGTGATTCTTTCAGAGGAAGGTATATTTAGACCGGTCCAGCCGGCCTAGCACTAGGGCCGGCCTATAGTGTATTCCAGTTGGATCAAGCAAGTTGTAGGCCCCCTTGTGGGGCCCATAATATGAATGCAAATTTAAAAAAGGAGGGGGCGGTTTAGGAGGGAATTAATTTGAGAGGGGCTATTTAGTAATTATCATTATATTAATATTATCTAAATAGGGGGGAAAGTGTTAGGGTTAGGGTTATGTTATGTGTTGGCTGAATTTTATTTTATCTTTGGTTGCTTGGACTCTAGCTGCCGGACTCTAGCCGCCGGCTAGAGATTGGGAGAGCCAGATTTTCCTCTCGAATTGAAGATCCATGGTATCTTGTTTGTTTTCTTCTATCTTTCATCAATTATCAAGTTTGCTTAGTGTTTTGCCTCCAAATTTCTCTCAATTTCTGCTTTTATATTGCTGAAATTCCAAATTTCAGCCAAGATCTTTTAATTTCTGAAAGTATTCCTATAAGTATGCCATCAAATTTCATCATGATGAATCTAGTTTGATCGGAAAAAGCTTGCCTGGTCTCCCTAGTTGTAAACTTAATTTTGTTTGAATTTTAAATTCTTTTGCTATCAATTAAGGTTACTCATTACTTCAAATGGATTCTAATAATGCCTTCCTCTACATTGACCTTGCTGAAGCTGACCTTGCTGAAGCTATTTATATAGAGTAATCTTCTAGGCTTGTTGAGGTCAACCTTCATATTAACACAATAGATCACATCTTCATCAGCGTCACATCCTCAAGGTCTATTATCTCGGTTGTCTATTAGCAATATTCTTCTCACAGGGAGTGATCAAGAAGAGTTAACTATGGTAAAAAAACTACTTCAAAATAATTTTTTTGACCAAGGAGCTGGATAGTACCAAATACTTTTTAGCATTAAATTTATCCACAACAAAGTAGAATCTGGGTTAGTGCTAAGGCATAGCACAAGACTGTGGCACTCTACACATGATATGATTCGGGTTAAAACACTTCCAGAGGAATTTTATTTTTAGATTACATAACTTATTGTCTTATATTGTGATAATCATGTGGCTGTCTATATTACCAATACTTAAGTATTTTATGAAAAAACCAAACACATTAAGGTTGACTATCACTTTATTTGTGATGTGCTATTAAAAAAATTATTAGTCATGTTTCAAATCAGAGTAGTTTGCAGATATACTTCAATGCTTTGAGCCCATTTTAGTTGCAGAATTATGGAACAAACTAAACTTTACTGATATATATGCTTTAGCTTGAGTTGGAGTGTTAACGTTATCATTTATCCAAGAAAATTATTCATAAAATGGCTAGTGGTCCTCTGTGATATAATATTATTTCTTCTATTATAAGTAGGAGTCCTTCCTTCCAACTGACTAAAGACCAAACCTTTTTCTCTCAACAATTACAATGAAAATTTCAAAAATTTAATAGTAAAACCTCAGTTCAAGGATCAATTGACATGCTAGAATTCTTCTAGAATGTCATATTTTTGCTACCCTCAATTTAATGATGTTATATAGCTTTAAAAAAAATAAAGCTAACTTCTTGCACTATTATTTCAGCGTAGTAAAAATCTGAACTATACTTCATGGAGTAACAGTTGCAGCAGCTGCAAAAATCCAAGAAGCATAAAAAATGATCATTATTTGAAAGATCTTATATGAGAAGACGAAGCCAGAAATAAAGAGTAAATTTGTGGGAGGAGAAAATACCCAGGAAAAAAATAAGGATTTGGAAGAGAGTCATTTTAGACGTGGAACAAGACCAATGGGCTAGCCTGATACACTTCATTTTCCGTAGTTTCGTTTCCATTTTGTTTTTTAATATGAAGTACGATAAAGAGGGTTGCACAATTTAAGTACAAATGATATTTGCTAGTTGCTGTTAAGGAATATGAATATCTAGAACTGTAATAGATGAGAAATTGCATACCATAAAACATAAATTCTGTCCTTTCTTTCTCCTTAAGAAGCCATTGGCACTAGCATGAGGTATTCTCATTGTAATGTAGATTAATCGAGCTTCATGATTTGCATTTCACATGCAAATTGAAAGTCTTGTTTTATTTTTTGTTCCTCGACAAGAATAACGTCTTGCATATTTGGTTTTGAAATAATGTCATTTTGCTCATATTTTTTTACTTTGAAAATTTAGGCTGAGTTTGCAAGCTCTGCTGTAGACTTTTTACACAGAATTGGTCGAACAGCTAGAGCTGGTCAATCTGGGATTGTCACGAGCTTATATACATATTCAAATAAAGATCTTGTAGCTTCTGTGCATCTGGCGGTGGAAACAGGCCAGCCTGTGGTAATCTTTCATTACATATACTTTTTAAATCGTCCAAGAATTGATCCCTACCATACTAATATGTAGTTACTGAATCAGTATTGTTACTATCTAGCAATTATATTTAAGTCGCTTTATGAGGCTTCGTTTGGGGCGGCTTTTTTACTGCTTCTTAAAGCAGTTTTTTTGTACAAAAATTATAATTTTTCTGCTAGAAAATTATTTTAAGAAGCAGTAAAAATGCCGTCCCAAACTAAGCTTAAGTAGGCTTAGTGTTTGTTTGGGGTGATGGACTGTGCATAGTGGTGCACTTTCTGCTGTTGGGGGCCGCATTTGATGTCTCTGTGGCCAGTCACTTTCCTGCCAAACTTCTGCAGATTAGCCGCAGAAAAAAAAGTAACATAATTTCTGTAAAGTTACTGCCACCGCTCCAAACAAACTCTCAGCCGCACATTCCAAGCGCTCTGAAGCATGAAACAAAGATTAAAAGCGCAGCTTTACTGCCCTCCATGTTGCTTTACTGCGTCTACTTGGAACAATCTTCTAATAGGTAGAGCTTTTCTTTTTTCAATGCTTTTCAGGAGAATGCATTTAGCCGGAAAAGGAGCTTCAGGAATAAGATAAAGAAAAGAGGTATGCTTCTCAAGGAAAGAATGCTGATCACGTATGGATGTCACACCTAATAAAAAGGACTATATCGGGTTTAGGACTAAAGAACTTTCTAGATATGAAGATTCAAATGCTCTTAACTAGCTACCTAATCATTTAATTGACTGCTTTAATATTTATTCAGGCAACACTTACACATAAATTATCATCATCATCATTACATGTTTCGACCTTTTACTTATTTCAACAAAGGCCTTAGGATGTAAGACAAACATGCGAAGAGTTGCTTTGGAATTGTGACAAATAAGATAGAATTAGTACATTGCTAATTAGTAACTCATGCTTCAATCAAGTTAAATTCTTAGAACTTTCTATTGGAAGATTAAGTAATGGTAATCCGGTACAAGAGGTTAGCAAGACAATTGCAATAACAACAAAATTTAAATAGTAGTTCTAATAGCAACTAAACAAGAATCCAAAGCGTAACATCAAGACATGGTCACTTAGAGTTCCTACTCACTCAATCACTCTTAGGCTTAGCGGTTGAAGATGAAGCATACGATGAGAGAAACTGCCACTAGAAAGATAGTACCGAAGGTCTTTGTTGATGGAGAGGTAGCCACGGACGGAGAAGGGGTAGATCTCCCAACGAGAAGCCAAGGCGTCTTGGGTTTTTGGAGGTCGATCGTTTCCTCTAAGCAGTAGAGGATGCGCTTAATGTATCTTTCCACAGTCTCGTCGTATTCCCAATCAGGATCGTAGAAAGGAGAGAGAATAATGTCGATCTCCCCACGATCTTTGTAGTTGAAACCGTGATCAACCTTGGGATCGGCCATTCATCATACGCATGAGGAGGGGACACAAGAAGGAGGAAGAAGGAGAGAGATGGTGGTGGGGAGGGAAACCGGGGGCTTGAGTAGGAGGGAGAGGGGCCGGCGGCTTGAAGAGGGGAGAGGGGCTAAGGTTTGAAAGAAGATTTTAGTAAATATGAAATAAATTTCAGATTTAATTAGATTTGGAAGGAATCAAATTGAAAATCAAATTCAAATTCAATTAGGATTGAAGCCTCAATAGGAAAGACAATGGGAGAGCCCATTAATGGGGCCGGTGGGTTCAAGAGAAGCGAGAGGGAGTTGTGGGAGCAATTTGTGAGCTTCCAAATCAGCACATAGGAATTAGGAAAGTTATTATGAAATCCACCTCAATTTGAATTTCAAATCAATTTGGATTTAAGTACTTTCCTAATTAGGATTTGCAAATAAGGAAAGTTGAAATTTGAATTTCAAATTTCAAATTTCAAATTGTGGTAATTACTTTCCTTTCTATTGGAACTAAATTAAGAGGGGAGTTATGATGATTGAAATCATCATAATGAGGGAATTCATTGGGTGGGCCAGCGATGGGTTTGGGCTTGGGTGGGGACGGGTGGTGGAGCCGGTGGGTTTGGGCTTGGGTTGGTGGGGTTAAGTTGACGGTGGGCTTGGGGAGGTGGAATTATGTGGTGAGCTTGGACGGTGGTGGGGGTTATGAAGGCCGACGGGTGGGAAGGAGGAAAGAGGTGGAGAAGACGAAGATAAATGAAAAACCACGAGTTGAGGACTCTTCCAACGACTGGTGGGCCTTGCACTTGCTCACTTTGAGCTCTCTCCCTTCTCTCTAGCTCTCATGCAAGATGAAGAAAAGCAAATAAAATTTCATTAAAACATTCATCATCCTTTTACAACACAATGGGCCACTATATATATGCCTCTCAACATGAAAAGAAAAGTACAAACATGTCCTCCGGGCTACAATGACAAGATATTCCCCATAAGGGTAAAAGCAGAAAAATAACAAAAACTAAATAAAACATCATGCATACAACTAGATAAAACATAAAGCGTCAAAAGTAAATACACTGAATCGTAGCTGTCGATCTACGATTTCGTCGCCGGTACATGTGTCTGAATCTCTGAGCGTTGTCCTCATCGCCTCATTATCATTTACAATAAGCGTATATGTTAATTGAAAATTATGTTGTATTTTATTTAGTTAATTCTAGTAAAGATGTGTGTTTTAGTTGATGTTATGTAGGAGTTGTAGTAGCTCAAACTCTTAACTATTGATATATTGTCCACTTTAACCTAAGGGACTCACGGTTTTGTCCTGTTAATATAACTTCCTATGAGGTCACCCATCTCAAGATTTCTCCAAGATGAGCACACTTAACTGCGGAGTTTCTTATGAAATTCCAACAATTACACTAAAAGGCGCCTAGATGTTTAAGAGTTTAGCTTCTTTTTATTTAAGGGGTTTCACAATTTCCCCTACTTAAGTAACTGATGTCCTTGTCATTATCTTTATTCTAAAATTATCTACCAGACATATAGAATTCTTGAGGTGGCCCCTACAAGTTCAAGTGATCACTTCCGCCTTGTAACACTTTCTCCCATACAGGGTTCAAGAGGTGACTCCCATGATGTAGCACTTTGTCTTGTATAACACTTATTTTCCAGCTTTTGGTTGGTGTATTGCTTTGATATCATTTTGTAATCTCCCAAACTCTTAGCTATAAAGATATTGTCCGCTTTGGTCTAAAGGCCTCACGATTTTGTTCTGTTAGTGTTACTCTCAAGAGATTATCTATCCCAGGATTTCTTCGGATGAGCACGCATAACTGCTAAATTTCTTAATAAAATTTCAATCATTACTCCAAAAGGCGTTTCAATGTTTAAGACTTTAATTTCTTTTCACTTAAGGGTTTTCACAGGAATGTCTAAGGAAACAAAACAAAATTTGCAAAATTTAGAACAAGTGTTGCAGCGCCACCACTATTAGTGCCGTAGCGTCTTCGACGCCCTGACTCCGATTTTGAACATTACAGTGCCTGAGTCTCAGGAAAATTTCTCTGAAGTCAGTTTTCCAGCGGATCAAAGGATAGCATCGCAATGTTGAAAGTGAATATTACAGTATTAGAGTCTCAGGAAAATTGCAAATAATTCAACGCTGGAGCCCCAAACTATGAATCACTGCAACGCTGGAAAGCACAATCAAGCGTCGCAATGCTAATCTTTTGTAGTGTCGCTACAGAATAGTTAAGGAAAAAAAGCGTTGCCCTGATTCTACCAAAAGTCGCATCGGTTTAGTCAACAACTGCACCGGGTCACCTGCAGAGCAATGTAAGCATCATTGAGGCGCTAGGTCATATTCAAGGGCATCAAAATGGGTCTTCAGACCCGAACTCGACTCGCAACCAGCTGACCCAATCCGATTAGGAAAATAGGTCGGGAATTCGAACTTTGGGTCATCCCGAAATGACCCGCCTACCTTTTTTTCTTAATTTTTTGAAATTTTTGCTATTTTAGATTTAAGGCTTTAACATACAATGAAAATCTCGTATACAATTTAATTGCATATTGCAACCACAACCACAACCACAACCACAACATTGTATTGTTGATTAATTGTATATTGCATAAAGAAAGCATAATATACTGACAAAAACATAAGCCAACAATTCACAGATCATGGTTCCAACAATTCATGGTTTTTATGATTTTGACCTAAATGATTGCTACAACAAAGAGCTAAAGAGGCAAAGACTAATAGAGCATAATATATTAACCCTAAACCCTAAAACAAAAAAATCATAATACTAAAAAATTCCTAAATAGACGAAACCCTAAATTCAAAAAACACTAAATTCAGAAAACCCTTGAATGATTGAAATAGGCAAAGTGATAGTGAAATTTGGATACGAATAACTACTAAACCGACGACGACAAGAATGGAGGCTGCGAGATATAGCCTGTAGGCACGACCCGACGACGATGAGAGTCAAGAGGAAGTGAGTAAGAGCGACAACCATCCAAAACCCTAAACGGGCACTCGATAACTTGAGAACGAGAGTCGAGAGAGAACTGATAGCGACTAAACGAGTGAACGAGCGAACAACCCAAACCATGCATCACAGATTTATACGTAGGGTTTAATTAAATTTGGTTTGAAGTTGGGTTTTAGTCGGGTTCTCGGGTCAACCCGACCCGATTTTAAATCCGGTCAAGTTATTAAACCCGAACTCGACCTGTTTGATAAACGGGTGACCCGAACCCGGCCTTTTTCGGGTTGGGTTTAGGTCAGTTTTCGGGTCGAGTCAAGTTTTGACATGCTTAGTTATATTCAAACCTGCAGCCCTACCTTGTGCACTACGAGGCTCGAGTCCATTTTTGTATTAAGTATAAATAGTTTTTCTGTCTTTTTTTTGTGGGAGATTTTTAGAGAAATCTAGAGGAGAGTCTGATAGAGACCAGAGAATAGTGAGATACATCTTCTGGAGTGGTCGGTCAATATTATAGTGAGCAACAAATCAATTGTAGAGGAAAGGAGTGCGGATATCAAAATTGTAAGGGGAAATTCACTTTGAAAAGGGTCCATCCGCGGGATCTGTTTGAGATTCTTCATTTCGGGTGATGTTTTCTTCATCTTCTCTACTTGTACTTTCTTTCTTGAGCAAGTAATAGAATTTGTGGTGTTCAATTTTTATTCAATGGCCGGCTAAACTCATAATTTTGAATTGATGCTGTGAAAACCTTTCTAATTCCTAATGTAGACTTGTGTTTAGCGTATGAATGGGTTTTTTTAATAACACTCACTCTTCATTTAATTTATGCAATAACCATGTATAAAATTAACATATGGTGTGATACATTGTCTCGGCAGAGGAATGCTGGAACAATTAGGATAATTGAGATGGAATGCTTGCATCCTTATTCCTTAGATATATGATATTTCGTATTCTTAGGTCTATGAAGATTTAATAATTATAGGAAGTCCAATATCCTTATAAGCTCGATAGAGATCTGAGGATGGATATGCTCTAATTTATATTTTGACTGTGAATCAGAACATATGCATCTTTAGATGTGTTTTGGACTGGTGACAGTGAATACCCTAAGTTTTCTTAAGCAGACTCCTCTATATTAGAGATAGAGATTACCGATGATTACATTTTGTTGGATAAATACCGTAGTTTGAGTAGATGGTACTAGAACATTTATGTGTAGCACAATATTTCCTCGTGTGATCGACACTTTCTCATATACTTATTATTTGATCGACATGTGCACTTGCATTTATTGGAATTATATTCAAGCAAACAAATTAAACAAAGCCCCCTATCAATACGTCAATGTACCTTAGTTTGAATTTCCTTTGCTATCATGTTAATAATCTACAATCGTATACATACTTATTGGTGATACTTGAAGAAAATCTACTATGATAAAAAATTTATTGGTTAGTTGACAATTAATTTTAATTGTAATCAATGTTCCATCCTATAACTTTTTGATATCATCAACATGCCTATGATGTATACTTTTTTTATCCTAATGCGCTCCAAATGAATTACCATGATACTCAATTATATGCTTTCTTAATATTACCACAAATAATCTTTTTTTCCTTCTATATTTTTTCATTAATTACCGTTGAATAAAGTTTGTTCATAATGGACTTTCCTAGCATAAATTCAAATTGATTCTTCCATTTTGTTATCCAATATCATTTTTCATTACTCTACCAAAACTTGCATGAATGACAAGCTTAAATCTCTAAGTACTACAATTCTGAACATTTCCTTTATTTTTTTCATATTGGTTCGTAAATGTATGCTTTCCTATCATATGCATACTGGTAGTCTATGATATTTCATTGTTAATATTTGTTAATTAAATAACTCTAATGATAAATCTGCAAATCTTATTGTTATTTGATCTTTTCAAATTTTTTACTTTCATGCATTTTCCTTAAAATCAACTCTATATTTTTTAAGATTACTTTATAATATACCTCATCATTTTTACTAGGCTCCTTAACAATGGATTGTTTATTAGAACTCTTGATTGTTTCTCAAGGTAAAACTTTTATGATAATAAAATCTTAGTTAGAGATGATAAAATCAAATAAAAATGAAATTAAGAAAATAATACATATATATATATATATATATATATATATCTTTTAATTGAACAAGTCATATGAATTCACTTTAAGTTTGGCTGAGCTATATAATTCTAATTTTATTTTATTTAGAACACATTTAAGATTAAAAATTTATTATGTTTGAAGCTCGTGGTATTTATCTTGAGACAATTGTCTCTTTTATTCAAATGTGTTCAATGTTGCTTGGTCAATGTTTTCCTAAATCACTCTAAAATCATTGCATAAGATTTATTTTTTTCGTCAAGTCTATGGATGATTTTGTCACTTCACTTTTAAAAGAAGTTATGTGATATTTGTTTTTAAGTAGTTGTTAACTGTTATATTGTCATATACTACTGATGAATCAAGCATAACATCTATTGTCACATTTTTTATCTCAAATTTCACACCATGAAGCTTCTCATGGCTATATCTATTAGAACTTAGTACATCTACAACCGAACTTGAAACAATTGTTTGTTGTTCGCTGTCATCTCCACTCGAACTTAAATTTCAGCCTCATTTTCGTGACGTGAACAGTTGCACTGATCACAAACGGTTTTTTTTTTTTAATTTAGAAAATCATTCTAAAATGATTAAAGAAAGAGATGAGAAAGAATATGTACCGAATATTTTTTTTTTAATGTTAAGATATAGAGTTTAGTTGGAGCTGACTTACTATTTAATATGATTGTTATTGTATTTTGAAATAAAAGATGAATTTTTCCATTAGAGATGCCCTTATATTTCTATTTAAGTTCCTAACAATAATTATCCTTTCTTTACCCAATATAGATTATCATAATTTGTCCTTTTTTTCATCAAGAATTGACTATATTTATAGTGTCTTTATTTATAATCAGTTTAATATCAAAATCTTTTTGCTAACTATGTTTGTGTCATCAATTTTATTTTTCAATTCTGTGTACGTTATTAAACCTATGCCATTTTCTTAGCCATTTATACTATTGCCTTCTTGATGCCCAAGTGAATGAGTGGTTGACACCTACCGTTGTTTGTCCGGGTGGTGAAGAGTCAGCTAGGTAAAGCCTAGGTCCCTGATTCAAATCCCTTGGGAAGTAGTGAAAGTCTTAAGTGTTGTCCTGTGTAATTTGGTGTGGGTTGCATGTTAGGTTAACCGGAATTTTCACTGACTTAAGGCAATGCTTTCTCATTAAAAGAAAAAAAAAAGTGATTGACGGGATGAGAAACAGTAAATAAAATGTCAGATGTAGTCTATATGATTTAATCAATTAACTAGGCCTGTCATAGTTAAATCAGAGCTTCAGATATATTAAATGTCCCATAAATATTTCCAAGCATTCTGTATTCCATTCATCACCAAATCTGTCCTGTAAATAAAATTTCTTGGAAATGGTGTTTCGATTAGCATTTATTATTTCTCTGAAAATTCATTGATCTCATTGTCAGTATTAACTATTTCAATTTATTTTTTACCCCACAGGACGCAGCAGGGCTGAAGAGACATTCAGAGTATCAGCATAAGGCTGGTTTGATTGGGACTCCTTATCATGTAAGTGGTTGAGAAGAGTTAAAAAAAAAAAAATACAAGCAGTTTCACTCCATTTTTAGCAAATTTTTGTAAGTAAAAGTAAAAAAATGAAGTTTAAGCTTTTTCTTAACCAAATACGGGTTGTCTTTGCAACAATTTTCTAAAAAACCAATAAACAATGCTAGAAATTATCCTGTGCGGATGTCGTACGCAGCCCAACGTCCGGAGGTGAATCAAGTGCAACTACGTCGGCAATACCAAGCTGCGGTACTGAGCTATACCGACCCGTACCAAGCCACGGTACCGAGCGAAGAGGTGATGTGACACATTCTGGTTGGTCTCCGGACGGACGCCGAGATGACGTTCGGCGTCCGCACAGAATAATTTTCCAACAATACAGATTGGGCCATAAAATTTTCAAATCTAGATCATCAAACAATCTTTAAAACATAGAATTAACTCTCATTATCCACAGTAGAGTGCATGTTTGTGAAATCCTGATCAAATCAGGTGGTTGAATCGGTGCTCAAATCGGTTCAATTGGATGACAAAACTGATTTGCAGCTTTGCGAAGTGCCAAAATTAACCAGTAAAAATTGGCAGTCAAATCTCTCAATTCTTAAGTTGGAAGCGTTTGATCGATGTGATTTAAAATTCTATAGCAGAGACAGTTGAAATTTAATATTTTTTATGACATGTTTCATCTTTATGTATTATGTATTATCATTATTATAAATATTATGGTATTTAAATAATTTAATTTAATTTCATGATTTGCATTATCATAGTCGAACTCTTTCTTAGATCTTGGTTAAATTTTTGAACCTTGGATTTTTCTTCCACCCGCTTAATATCAAGATCCTGGTAGATTGGATTGTTGAAATTTGAGAATTTTATTCTCTAATTACTAACGACAACAGCAACATCAAGCTTTTATCCTACTATGTGGGTTGGTTATATGAATTATTTTCCTCTATTGTATAATGTTAAGAGTCAAATTCAACATGATAATTAGACATAAAAATTTTGCTTTCAAATTACCATGATAATTAAATATAATCCGAGTCCTAAACAAGGCTTAGGCTTTGTTTGAGACAACTTTGTTGCTTTCTAAAATGGTTTTTTTGTACAAAAATTTCTTGAATTAAAAATTTTTGTATTAAAAATCAGTTTTATAAAGTAGCAAAAAAATTGTCCCAAACAAAGTTTTAGTCTAAAGCCAAAACTAAGGCTTTGGTTGAGAAAGCTTTCATATTGCTTTATAAAGCAACTTTTTAATAATTATTTTTGTTTAAAAGATCATTGTACAAAAAAATTGTTTTAATCAGCACTAAGAAAGTTGTCCCAAACGAAGTTTTAGACAACTTGCACTGTACTATTTCAGATTTTTACTACTAACAAAAATTGTTTTTTCAGATTTGATACTTCACCAGGAGAGAGAGCTGCAGCTTCAGCATCTCAGAATTTCTCCTCTTGGTGATAAAACAGTCTCATTTTATTGTCATTGAAAGGTAAAATTTACGCTGAGATAAATGTAGATCATCGGTGCTTGAGGAAGATAGATGTCAAGTTCAGCAAGTAGAAAGCTGTCGAGTGTACTTCAACATATGTGATCGCTATGGAGCTTTTGAGATATGATTATTCAGGCTCTGTTGAGGTAGAAAATGAAAGTATATAAAATTTTTTTTGTAATATTAACCTATGTTGCAGAGAAGAGTTGATAAGAATTTGATAGAAAAAGATTTCTCAGGTTGTTTTTAGTTCTTATTTGAAGCTTTTGAGGTATGATTATTCAGTTCTTTGTGTTATATTTTTTGTGGATAGAAGCATTGAGTGTCACGACCCGACCCGAGACGAGACGGATCCCGCCCGCGCTGGATCGCGACGGAGCTGCACTAACCAGGATCTAGCTTCCGAGTGGTACCGAACGGTACCGAACACTGTTTTATACTAGTGTGCAGACGGTTCTCCAGTCCGCACTCCGTACCTAATTATTATGTGCAGACGGTTCTCCAGTGCCGAGCGAAGGGGTGATGTGACACATTTTGGTTGGTCTCCGGACAGCATTCGGTGTCCGCACATAATAATTTTTCCTGAGACTCACATGACCGTTTGTTTTATCAATTCATTAGGTAATTTAAAAAAGTTAACTAGAGGTAAATGCACTGTTTTGTTTGCATTAAGTGAGAGGTTTTGAGATAAAATTAAAATGAAATCTTCCTATAAATAGTTTATTATGTGCTTTTTTTAGTGTAAGTAGGCGAAGTTTAAAAAAAGGGTTTGTTGTATGATAAAACTAAGAATGATGGAAGAATATGAGAGTTTTGACTCTCAACAGGATAATGGAGAAAAATAATTCATGTAACTGATTTTACGTAGTGAGATGAATGCTTGATGATGATGTTGTTATTGGAAGAATATGTGATATGTTAGATAAATGTTAGTGTAAAGGAGTTGAGTTGATTATCTACCTAATCAAGTGAAGCTCATTTAATTTTTACGTAGCTGAAGCTCATTTGTTGAGCTCAAATTTGGCTAGTTTGAAAGTTATTAGCCTCCTCGTCTGTTTGATTGCTTGAGCTTGTTTTGAAAGCGTGAGTTCTACTCGAAAAAATAATTAAAAAATATTTAGTATATATTTTATTATATTATTTCAAAAATAATTACTAAATATACTTTTTATATGTAAATGAACGGCTTGACAAGCTTATGAGCAGAGTCATATTGAGCTCAACTTGTAGCTTGTATAATGTACATGCTTTAGAACTCTTAGTTCGTTGACTAGTCCAATTTGCGTCAGCCAGCGAGCCTTGCGAGCTCATTAATGTATCGCATTCAAGCTGAACTTGTGAGATTTTTATAGGTTCGAGCTCATTAACGAGTGTAGGCTTGAGCCCAGAACTCATGGCTACTCGTGTCAGTTTGTCTCACGAGTTTGTTAACGAGTTGAGTGCGAGTCAATTTGCTCTTTTGCAGCCCTACATAAATGAAATTAATATATTATTTGATACTTCTATGAAGAGAGAGAATTGTTTAAGTTAATATAAAAAGTTGAAGTGGTTGATGATGACAGCAATTATTTCGGGGTTTGAGCTCTGCCAGCTGTTAGCTTATTTTCGAGGTTCAAAATTTTAATTTTGGATCCAATCACCTTGAAAAAATTAAACAATTTGGGAATGATAATTGAGCTATTATTTTTAAATGGCTATAATATTTAAATTTAATTGATATACAATTTATAATATTTGAATATTGTAAGAATAGTGTATTATATTGTTGATTAATTAAAATTTATATTATATTCCTTTAAAATCAATATTTTTAGTGACTCAATTTTTTTTTTAATTTTAATTAGGGCTTTGAAAGGTGTGCTAATCCTTTGAAAAGGAAGAAGGTTAATTTGCAATAATAAAAAAAATATTGATACAATGCAATACACGATAAAGTGCATTGTATTTTGGGATCTAATTAGTTGAATAAATTTAAAATTTCTTTTAATATGAATGTAATATTATAATCAAATAGATATTTTAAAATTTTATTCTGTTTGCGTCCTAAAATATTTGTGATGGTAGAGAAATAAACGTAATAACTTTGTACGAAGATCCAGCACGGTTATAGATAAAAAGAGATGGTACATCATCAATAAGAGATACCAAGATTTTTATGTGGAAAATATTGAAATGGTAAAAAATCAAGGGGCCTAACTCAGTTTGAATGAGTCAACTATTATTTGCAGTTGATTACAAATAAGGCCCTTCCTTTGGGGGGGGGGGGGGGGTACTTTAAAGTATCACGATCGATATGTTTGTTGGGCCGGCAGAACCATAGTCGATAGGCGAAAGATGTTACTTTAAAGTATCACGATCGATATGTTTGTTGGGCCGGCAGAACCATAGTCGATAGGCGACGGAGGTCGGATTATCCCCTCTCCCCTTACTATTTTGCTTTGCTATGAATGACTTGTCCAAAATGTTGGAAACCTCTATTGATGTTCAGTCCTTTAAAGACATTTTTGCTGCTATATTTAAATTATGGTCAATGAAATTGGGCTCTTCTCCTATTTTCAAAAAAAAAAAATAATAATAATCTCCTATGATTAGATTTTCTTTTTAATTTTAAAAAAATCTTATAACATAGAATCTTTGATTGAATTCTGAACAACATTAAAGAAAAACACTTCACCTAATATGACAGTTCAATGCCAGAATAAATGAATTTGAAAACCACTAGTTGCAATGACACACTGTGATCTGAAGTCTTCATGTCTTCTTCAAAGTGTCAAACCTTTCAAACTGATCAAACTCTCTCACCCCCAAATTAATATACATATATATAAAGCTCCCTTTCATGGCACACAGCAACACATGAAGTTCACAAGGCATGACCTAAGCATTAATGTACAACCTTCAATGTTCTATGTTGTTGTTATCCAGGCTAACCTTCAATGTTCTATGTAATTTTTTTCATCCTTTTTTTTGGACGGGTCGTTTGGCAGTGTGGCTAATCTTCGGCTAAATTAGAAGAGCCGCCAACTCCAGAAACTTGCTGGCTCGCACTATATTGGGCTCCACTTTAGAGGCTCAACCGTAATGACCTACCAATCAAACTAAGCAATGACTGTTCTCTTGTAGGGATGTCAAAATCAGGTCATGGGTCGGGTTGGGGTCCAACCAGAAATTGATCAGACATTGTTCAACCCGATCCGAACCCGACCCATTTTTGCAAATTGGTCGATTTTTCAAACACGAACCCAACCCGCTTCAGATATAATTTATTAAATTTTTTATTTAATTCAATTTATTTAAATCTAAATCAAATTAACGTAAGATTTAATTCAATTAATTTAAAATAAATCAAGATTAATTTAATTTGGGCAACAATGTGTATAATTTTTTGAAATATTATTTCTTTATTTCATAAAAAACCTTTAAATCCCTCCTAAATTAATTAAAAATGGGTCAAATCGGATTTATTTCTGGTTTCTGGGTCAACCCGAACCCGACTCAATTTTACAAACTGGTCGAAATCCCTAACCCGAACCCAAATTGGATCGGATTCGGGTCGGATTTTTAAACCGGGTCAAATATTGACACCCTAATTTCTTGGTATTTTAAACTTTATATTATAGTGATTAATACAAACAATAATGAGGAGAGATAAGAAAGACTCGAACCCTACTGAGTGATAAGACTTCACCTTCCCACATCACATGCTCATGCGTCCTTACCCTTTTTGCTTACCTTTTGACAGCCAAGACTGTCCCATCTTACTTGCCTCCTCGATCCCATTATATCTCCTTCCTTCCTTCCTTCACTCTCTATATAAGAATCAAATGGTCTCTTAGCAGTATTCGAACTTCGAAGTATCTCCTCTTCTTTGACTTCAGCTTTTCCATGGCTCTCAAAGCAGCCATCTTTGTCCTGGTCTCCCTCCTGTTGGTCGCCTCTACTAGAGTAAGTCATCGATCTCTGGCTCCAGTCTTGATTTCTCTCTATTCGTCCAATATTGAACGTGCTTTGACCTGAAACTTTGCTATATGTAGGAGGTGGCGACGCCGGTTGGGGGTGGCGCTGTGGCTCCTTCGCCAGCTCCGGTTCCTGCTCCAGCTCCAGCTCCAGCTCCCCACATATTTGTGAACTTTGAAGGTAATTTGATTACTTTGAGCTTGTTTGTTTGCTTGCTTTGTTTGTTTGCTTATGATAAATTAAAGTCAAAAATAAGAAAAAAATGAAAAAAAAATATTTGGATGTATTTAGCTGATATTTATATTTAAAAGAGTAAAATACTGTTAGCATTACGTACTCTCCTCATTTATTTTTATACTTTATGTAAAGTAATAGTCACTATTTTTTAAAATCATTTTCTTTACTTCAAAATAAGTCAATTTATTTTCATAAAACATTTGATTTTGAAGAATATTTAAATATTTTTATTAAATTTTTTGACACTATTTTGAGAAGTTATTATGTGCGAACAACGAATGATCTGTAGAATAATCAAAATGTGCCACGTCATCTGGTACATTGTAATACCGAGCATTAGTATTGAGCAAAAAAATAATATTGCGCCTGATTGGTCTCCGGATGCTATTCGGGTCCTCATAGTATAGTTTTTCTTATATTTTATTGATTTTATTATAGAATTTATTATTTCTTAGTTTTTGGGTGATATTGTTTTGATTCATATTTTTAAAATTATGAAATTAAAATAAAATTTTAAATAATCTGAGATTATTTAAATTATTCCAAAATAATTAGAGAACTCCTTATCTCTTAAAAATTATATTAACTAAGTATTTATTTGATTTGATTGCAGAGTGCCCGTTAGCATGCAAGGCTCGATGCAAGCTGCATTCAAGGCAAGGGCTTTGTAACAGAGCTTGCATGACCTGCTGCAAGGGTTGCAAATGCGTGCCACCGGGAACAGCCGGTAATCGAGAGCTCTGTGGGCCCTGTTACACTCTATGGACGACCCATGGCAACCGAACCAAATGCCCCTAATTAATCCATATAATATAATTAATATTAATTACATATCTATTTAAATTAAATTCGATGTAGTTTCTATTTTCTGTTGAAGTTTTGTTATATTTATGAAGCTTTCAGTGTGTGGTATGATTTCGGTATTTAACTGATGCAATGTTTTTTTTGGATGAAATTTTTATTATTTTTAAAGCAGTTATTTAGCACAAAATTAAACAAAAAAATATTCTAAAAATTATTTTAAGAAGCAGCAAGAAAGTCATCTCAAATGATCGATCCCTTTTCGTGTTAAATCTTGGATTTTTGAAATCCTATGATTCTATGATTTAACGTTCTGTTAGTGCGAGAGAGAAAAAGAGTCCGCTCGTTTTTAAGAATTTAATGATCTAAATTCAACTTAAATAAAATCCTGTACGATATATAAATAAGATGAAATAATTTTATAATTTTAAAATTATGGCCCGCGTGTCTGTCCAGCTGGACTCCACAAAAATAAAAATAAAAAAGCACTGATCGTGAACTTTTTTAGCATTACAATTATGAATTTGTAGGGGACAATTTATTTTTTTGCTGTTTTTTTATATAATAATTATAATTTTATTTTATTATTATTTTTTAAATATTATATTTATTTATTTAAAAAAGTTTATCTTGTAAAATAAAAATAATGGAGCTTTCATTTGGACAGTTTTTAATTATTTTATTTTTTAGAACATAATAATAATTTTTATTTGTACATTATTTTTTAAAATTATGAGTGGAATGGTGAATACTTTAACTAATATAAAGATCAATTAAGAAATAATTTAATCTTTTTCATTAATAAAAATAAATTAATTTTAATTTAAAATATTTCATGTGCAATAAAAAAAATATATGCCATCTTTTTAGTATAACATTTCAAATTGAAGCTTGTACATTATATATTTAAATTTTTTTATTCATTAGAAAGAAATAATTCATCATATTTGTCGATCTAAATGTACCCCTGCTTTTGAATTATTAAATTTACTAAAATTTGATAAAATTACTATATAATTCTTAATTTTTCAAAATTATATTGTTTGAAAAGGATGGAGAAAAGTTCCTCCAAATTATGATTTAATGATATTGTGAATTTTTTGGGATTATGTCCAACTATTCTAATAATTTATTATTAAAAAATGTAATTTATTGGAATTGTGAATTTGAAGGTTAAAACCATAATTGAATGCAAAATTTAAATTATCATAATCATAAATAATTACTAGCTTTATTCTCTTAAATTATGTTATGCTATCATTATTTATATAAGAGAAAATTGCATTTCACCCCCTTAAGGTTGACCTCTTTGTTGCCTTTTAACCTCCTTTTACTACACTTCAAAAAAGTTTTGCCCATGCGTCTGCTAGGGTTTCGCCCCCTTCGGGCTTAGCCCGCCGCCTCCCTCTTCTTCCGCTTTCCCTCTCTCTCTAAAAACAAAAAACAAATGCACATAACTCTCTTATAGTAAATAAAATATAACTATTTTTTGTGAAGAAATTTAAATTTATAACTAATTTTTAATAAAGACTTTAATTTAATATTATAATAAATATCGTGTATTAAGAAGAATACAAATCAATATCTATTAAAAAAAATCAATATCTATTGAAATCTATTGTTTTGGCATATAGAATAACTAATATCCACATATATCTTTATGTGGTATGTTTATTGTCAATTATTTTCTTATAATTCATAAATTTTATTGATTTAATTTGTGAATAAAATAGTATAATTTATTTATTTTTATTTGATTGGTTTTAAGAAATAAAAATCAAATAAAAAATAAAAAATAGAAAAAAAAAGGCAAATTCACAATTAATAACTTACTATTATTTTAACAATCAAATGGAACCTAAAAAAATAAAATAAAATGATCAATTTAAACCAAATAATATACACCCCCAATTACAAGTGTTTCTTCCTTAAATCCATTTAAGCCTCTCTTCTATATTCGATAGCCACATTTTTTTTATTGTGTTAGCTTAATGAGGAACAATGTTCAAACCAAACAAATGCAATTAGCTAAAAAATTTACCAATGGATGTGTGCTTTCATTCTTATTACTAAGGTTTTGTTTGGAATGAATTTCTAACTGCTTTTATTAAAGCAGCTTTTTAGTATAATAATTAAAAATTTTGAACTTTTTTTTTTTAATTAAAACCCGCGGAGGGGCCTACGTGTTAATATCAAAAATGAGGATACATAGTCCTTAAAAGGATCCACTAGCTCGCTAATGCTCGAATGAGCTACAAACAAAATGTAAAAAATACATATGAGCCTGTGGTTCCTTAATCTAATATTACAAGAAAAGCAAGGAAAATAACTAGGGCTGAAGACACTCAGCACCCAAAAAAGGAAGCTCAGAAGATTAGCATTCGGCATCAGCTTCCTGCAAAAAAGATAAAACAAAAGGGAAACCAGCATAAAAATAAACCAAAAAAGAGTTACCTAAGTGTCAAGGCAGTTCATTAAGAAAAAAGTGGAATTAAACCTGCAAGGAACTCTCCAAAATGCAAAATTAGAAGATAAAAAGTTTAATAGAGCAGTGAAAAAGAGCAGAAAATAGTTGGCAGAAGACTTGATACGATTACAGTAATATTTGTTGCAGAATAACACACAAGAATTCCACTGGCAGCAAAGATCCAGAATGATACAAAGATACCCCAGCTGCAGCACAAAACACCAGTAGTCCACACAATAAAACTGCATAGGACTCAAGAAACTACTCATCTTGCAATCATACATGCACCCAAAAAGAAATAACCTGCAAAGAAAACTCTCCAAAACAGTCTGAAAAGATAAGTAAAGAGAGGTACCAGGTTTTCTAATATCCTTAGAAGTTGAAAGAATCGGGACAAGGATATATCCCCAAAAAACGAACTGGCTCAGGAAATTAGCCTTGCTAATGATGCTATAAACAGACACAAAATTCTTACCAGCGACCATCACCAGAGAACCAAAAATCCAAACAACAACATACTTAAAACACTTACTTCCCATAGAAGTATTAATTTGAGCATGAAAGTCAAGAAATGCCTGGACGGACTCAAAGCTCACACCAAAATGGTCCCAGATAAAACAAAACCGTCTAAAAGAGTGATGGCAATAGGAACTAAACCAATTACTAAAACGAATCCAGTAAGAGTGATTACTGATATTCAGAATATAAAAGATATAAATTTCAATAGAGACACCCTTCAGCAAATCGTAACCAACAAAGAGGAAGATGAAATTAATCTTACCAACCAAACTGCCAGAACTAATGGAAGCAAAATGACAGAATAATTGAGCACAATCACAAACATTCCCAGAAGACATAACAGAGCTTAAACAAAGGTGCCCAAAAAAAGCAATATATCCTACACAACTTAAAGTTCCAGCCAAATTTAAAAAGGAGATAACTAGTAGCAACACCCAAATAACAAAACAAATCAGTCAGCACAGAGAACCCCAGAAAACAGAAAAAAGGGACAAAACAAAAACAACTAAACTTACTCATTCCTAATATAAGGCATACCAGCTTTATCCAAATTGACCATACCCTTCAAAACAGGATTTAACATCCTAATATCCAGCTCTTCATAATTAGATAAAGAGCAACCTTTTTTAGCTAACCAATCCGCACAAATGTTAGCTTCCCGGTAAATATGAGAAATAAAGAAATTCATAGAGGAGATACAGTGTTTAATTTCCCTAATAAGGTAAAAGTTTTGAGGATTACCAGGAATAGTATCGTTAATGATTTGTATGAGGAGCATAGCATCAACCTCAATCCAAACATTGTTGAAACCTCTATTTTTGCAAATTTTTAACCTGTAATTTAAAGCCAAAAGCTCAGCAGTAATAGCATTAGGACGATGGATAGGAGCAGCAAAAGCAGCCAAAATCGAACCAGAATTATCACGGATAATACCACCAGCACCCGCAGAGAGATTATTAACAGCACCATCCGAATTAAGTTTCACAAAAGGAGGAGAAGGTTTCCTCCAATTAACAATTCTCTCAGTGACAATATTATGCTCCATATCAACAGTGATGCCAAAAGAACTGATCATGTTTTTGCAATTTTTGAAATTTTGAGAGCTAACAATATTGTAACAAAAAGATTGCAGAACTTTAAACTTAATATTAGAAATAATCTGAAGGGCATTCATCTTAATAGAATTGTGTTTAGCATCATTTCTAGCCTTCCAAATATACCAAAATATAAGAATGGGAATAAAATTAAAAATATGACCTTTCTGAGCATAAGCCCATAGCTCCAAAACAGAAAAAACTGTATTGTGATTAGAATTAAAATTCTTTCTGGCAAGTTTACTGAAATAACTCCAAACTTCTTGAGCTATAGCCCCATTCACAAAGATATGATCAATAGTTTCCACGTTAGAGCAGCAATAGCATTTGGAAGGCATAGAAATACCTTTATTTTGAAGCACAACATCAACCGGAATAAAGCCTTTAATACATCTCCATAAAAGAATAGAGTAGGATAAAGGGAAATTAATATGCCAAAAGGCCGAATAAATCAATTTAGGCTCCTTCTTAATTCTGAAATTTTCCCAAGCATCTTTTAACTGAAACTTACCAGTGGAAGAAAGATTAAAAAGTAAAGTATCATTGCAGTTAACATCTAAAGGAATACTCAAAATAATCTTGACTATACTAACAGGAAGAATTTACCTAAGCTTGGCAACATCCCAACAATTGTCATTAAAAAAAGGCGACACTCTAATATTGGTAGTAGAGTGAGTGTAAAGCAGAGCATCAATATTAGAACAACCTAACCAATTGTCTTGCAAAAATAAATGTCACCTTTTCCCACTCCCCATTGGAGAAACTTTTCCGCCTCCCATTTAAAAATTTTGAACTTGAAAACTGCTTTAAGAAGCAATCCCAAACGATGTCTAAACTAATTAGGGACCGATGGAGAATTTACATCAAAAGTAAATGCAAGAAGTATATAATTTATAATGTATTGAAAATGGAAATAATTTATAATTACAAACAAACCCATCCCATAATAATTTTAATAATTTATGCCAAAGAACATACATCATTTAATTTAGAATGATTGAAAATGTCAAATATATATGATCCTTTACATTTATTCCATTTTCTTCATAAAAACAAAGCACATGTGTAGCATTTCATTCAAACTAAAAGTTCCAAATTCTTCATTGAGGGCACTCTGGTGGAGGGTTTGGAAACCTTTGAACATCATTACAGTAATCATAGGTCATATATGTTCTCCTGACGTTCTGATAAGCCGATTTTTCAGAAGCACTTAACTGTTGATATCTTGCTGAGTTCCACCATAATGAGGGAGATGAACAGTGAGCATCATGTGAACTTACTGAAACGCATCCATCTACATCAAAACCTTGAAAAATTGCATTAAATGGAGCATAAGACCAGTCTACTTTAGTCTTGCCTCCATCAGTAGCCCAGCTATCTCCATTCCACAAGCTTGCTATTAATTGCATTGGTTGAGATGGATAACCCACTCCTATATTCTCTTTGTTAGCAAATACTCTAATTGGTGTATCATCCACATAAAACCTATAATAGATTAATTAGTCAAATATGATGAAATGGATTAACAGTTTAATGATTTTGGATTAACTTTAATCAGCTAAGGATTGGATTAATCATAACTTACACTATTTGATTAGTGTTCCATAGTATTTTGTAGTCATGAAGGTCAGCAGAAGGATCAAACCATAATCTGATCCTTTGTTCTCTATTTCCTTTCCCATTTGCAAAGACATTTGTCTGAAGAATTATGGGTTTCCCTTCAAGGTTGCCAAGGAACTCAAAATCCAGTTCAGCATGGTTGGTACTTGAGTCAGAAGCCAACTAAATAAAATTAAAATATAAACTTTAGTAATTTGAATCATTAACAAGAATTCATTTGTGTTCTAGAAAGTGATCATATTTGAATAGAAAATATAAATAAAAATAATTGAAGCCTTGAGCTCAAATGTGTCTTTTGATTAAGATATATAAGAGAGACAACGGGTTTGTTTGGGATAGCTTTCTAAGTACTTTTTAAAATAATTTTTTAGTATAAAAATTTCTTAAACAAAAAGTTTTTGTACTAAAAAGTTATATTAGAAAATGATAAGAAAGCTGTCCCAAATAAAATCTTAGTACTATTGTGGTTGGCTGATTGAACCTTCCTTTTTTAAAATATTATTATAGTATAATTTTTATCAATTTTTTAAGCAAGTATATTAAAATTCTTGTAGTGTTTGAGGAAGCTTTGAGAATTGGATTATCCAAACAACAAAAAATGAAAGATTTGATGAAATTTACATAGAAAGCAGTTACAACTCCAGCTGAGTTTTTTCCTGGCAGCTTTATCTTCATATGGAAGAACCCAGAACCGTATTTAAGCTTTGATCCAAATCCAGAACCTGATAAAACAAACACGAAGCGTTAAAGGGTAATAATCATATATGTATTCAAATGCTCCTTAGGTTGATTAAGGCTTCGTTTGGGATGACTTTCTTATTGCTTCTTAAAACAGCTTATTATAAAAAAGCTTTCTAGCTAGAAAGCTAAAGCAATAAGAAAGCCGTCCCAAAAGAAAAACATGTACAGTTAATATATACAGACTGTATAAATTGGCCATAATATTATTTTAATAAAAAAATATCTTAAAAATGGTTTCTATGATAGATAGATAGATTATCAATCAATCTTGATACAATTATAAATAAATGATATATCATCAACGACTCTTCCTAATATGAACGGGATGAATAATAATTAAGAAGAAATTTAATTAAGGCTTTCACGGGTTAATTATCAGGTGATGTCGTGTTAAAGGGTTCATATACTAAAACATGCATCTTCCATGCATGATATTGACGTAGTATTAATCTGAAATATTGCCATTTAACCGCATAGATTAAAAAGAAAATTAAGATAATGATAATTACTATGTTTGTTAAGTACAGACATCTGGGATTGAAAATTATTTTATTATTTTTTAAATATTTATTTATGTTTGATGATTACAGACGTTAGGGTGTCAGTAACAATAAAAAAATTATATATACTCAATTGTTTTGCAATTTTAATCGCTACAAATGCCTCTATTATCGCCATTACAGTCTTTATTTACTGTAATGGAGTTATCAATATGGTTTATTAATTTTTACATTGAGCTTAATCAATGAATCCAATAAAAACAAGAAGTTCTTTAGCTTTTTAATTAATTTGGACTTTTCTTGAATTTGGTTTGATAGAGATTAACTTAGGCTTTGTTTGGAACAACTTTTTTATTGCTTATTTAAAGCAACTTTTAACTAAAAAATTCCTTTTAAAAGTAGTAAAAAGTTGTACCAAACAGAAGCATCAATTAAACTCCAAAGATGACAACTGTTAGCAGTCCATACTACTGCATAAAAAACCCCAGAATAAAATTGATAAATAAATTTCATGCTAAGAAATAATTTCTCCATAAATTTAAGAACAAGAGTTTGCATATCTCAACGCCTTAATTTTAACTATATTGTTATATCAACCCTTTTTTATCCCAGATAAAAATAAAAATATCAAAATAATAAAACCTGAAGCTTTGTCCATGAAAAGCGAAGCCTCAGTTTCCTTATTCAATATCTGTATTCGATCTCCACCCCATGATCCTTCATAATTTTCATAAAAACTTGTAGCTGGCCGATCACTCTTAGCCCAGTCCATGCAAGCAGCTAAGAGAAGAAGATGAAGAAGAAGAAGAGGAAGAGTAGTAGAAGCCATTGCTTTTGTTGGAATCATGAGAGATGAAGCTTCCAAGTTACTTAATGAGTTTTTGCATGAAACTGATCAAGTATTTATATATGTTAAAAGACATGCCAAACTTTCTTATGAGGTCCTTATCATAGCATAGCTAAGAATTAGTGAATATAATATGCGTCTCCTATACGCAACAACTTGCACTATTTTGAATTAGTCCCCTTTGTGAGATCATAATTTGGATGGCTACCTTTCTTTTTTGACTATTGCATTCACATTTTTTTTTCTCCTATGATATATATGAGCATCCACTTTGTATGGGATAGGTGATTTAATGAGCTTAATTAGGATAGAAATCTCTTAATTAAGAATATTTTTACTTTGATTTTATTTTCTTAGAATGTTTTGGAGCTGAGATTATTTTTATGATATTTAATATAAAATAATATTGAAATTTGTTAATTTTATGGGTATAAGTAAATTAGAATATGGTTGTTAGAAAATAGAAATTAATAATGATTTGATTAAGAAAGTAAAGCCTAAAAACTTAATTAGAGTAACAACAAATTAGATTTCTAAACAGTTTGGATACTAAATCTCTGAGAACACAAAATAACTATAATTACTTGTGAGTGTAGCCATGCTTAATTAGGATAGAAATCTCTTTAGCTTTTAGCCTAATCTATTGAGATTAAGACCTTAATCAAATATAGAAGAAAGAACATTTATGCATCATATCTTTTGATCTTTATCTTACCATATTTTTTCAAAATCATGGAACAGAATATCTCATGTGATCGAGTTACAATTTAGCCCACATACGTAGATCCAACTATATCATCTAGAGGTTGTTAGGATAATTCATTAATTATGCTTACATAATCAAGATGTGCCCATGCTTATATGAATGGTGCCTTGCAAGAGTGATTAATTGGTTTGGCCACCTTTCAATTAAAGATAAATAAAGTAGTATGAAATTTAAGATTTTTTTTTAATGAAATATGCTTTTTAAGGGTGGTTCTATCTTTTATTATAATTTTGAATATAGAAACCACTAATGTGATATAAACGGGATTAAATTCTAAGATTTTTATAATATTTTCTTAAAAATCATTATTAACTAAATGAAATGGCTTTAATAAATTTGTATAGCTTATGACTTTCAATTAATTCTCTCATATCACTTCTTCTATCCATGTAGAAGGTGAGCTAAAAAATTTTCAATCATTTATGAATATTGAAATAGTGTGCATGAATGTTGAAACACAATTAAAGATCAATGTAGCAATGCAATAATGGGTGATCCAACAAGAAATTAGTGGCAAAATTAGAATATAAAGTGATAGAAGGTGAAATGATTTCCTAAAAAATTATTGGGTGGGCAAGATAGTTTTTGGATAAGAGTTTCATATTTTACATGACCAAATAGGGTTTTGTCTAATGTAGAGAGCAAAAGCCATCCCAAACCCCATGATTTCACCATGACATGCAACAATAATAGAAGAAGTTATGATAACACTTAGGTTTCTTTTGGGAGAGCTTTTTTATTGCTTTATAAAATAATTTTTTTGTAAAAATTTTTTAACTAGAAAAATTTGTACTATAGGAAGCTGTTTTGAAAAGCAATAAGAAAGCCGTGCCAAACAAAGGCTTAGCCTTCGAAACGGTTTGAATTTTGTATGTATTTCTTGGCAAAGAAAACACTATAAAAAAACTACTCTTGCTATTACAATTAGAATACTGGTGGCTTATAAATTAAAAAGAATGAAACAAATAGATGATTGGTCTAATGAGGTTAACGAATTGTTTCATAATAATGACTCATTTGGCTCATCTTTTGGTTTTTGAAGTCTTTCATGTTTTTTTCTACCTGACTGTTTCTTTAACAATGTGGATGGATGATCATCAGAGCTTCATTCCTTTCGTGATTTCTTATCAGTCTAATTGTATTTGGATCTTTAAGAAGCTATGATGTTATATTTGAATATATGCTCCACTTGATCAAACACATGTACACAAAGGCTTCGTTTGGGACAGCTTTTTTATTGCTTCTTAAAGCAGCTTCCTAGTACAAAATTAAAATTTTTGTTCTAGAAAATTGCTTAAAGAAACAGTAAAAAAGCCGTTCCAAATGAAGTCAAAGTGTAAGGCTTCATTTGGGACAACTTTCTTATTGTTTTCTACAACATTTTCTAGGTATAATAATTTATAGTTCAAAAAAAAATTAGTATTAAAAATTACTTTAAAAAACAGTGAAAACCTCTCTCAAATAAAGCCTAGAACTTCATTGATACTATGAACTAAGCCCACTGATCCTTGCACAGTTTTTCATATTTTCCATCAAATAGATTTGGATGATCTATATATGATAACGACTGAAGAAAAAGGATTTATGTAGCCGATCCTACATAGTGAAATAAAGACTTGATGTTGTTGTTGTATATGATAACGGATTTGACTTTGTTTGAGATGATTTTCTAACCGCGTCTTAAAGCAATTTTATAGTAAGAAATTTGCTTTAAGAAGAAGAAAGCCGACCCAAACGAAGCTTTATGCTTCGTTTGGGACAGCTTTTTTCGTGCTTTTTAAAACGGAGTTCTAGTACAAAAATTCAAAATTTTGAACTAGAACTCCGTTTTAAAAAGCAGTAAAAAAGCCGTCCCAAACGAAGCCTTAATGTTATTTGGCTTTTGCCCTCAACTTTCCATGAAAAGGAAATCCCAACAGAACAAAGTTGTTGACGATTTATGGTAATGTGGCCATTAAGATTCTATATGGAATTCCTTATAAGTAACACCTATTTTTCCCTCATATTAATATTTTGTTCAAAAGTCTCAATAACTAATACATATTTGTGGTTAAACAAAAATATGCTTTGATGCAAAATAGAGGATTATTCCAGGCCATCTCCTAATGCTACAACCTGTCAATTTATGCTAGCTGGAGATAGGAGAAGGCCAGTTCAATCTGAGCTGTGCAGATTGGCTTGATCTTCTATGTTGATTTTCATTCCCATTGAAGGTTTCTCTCTGTGACTTTAGATTAAGAATTAATTAATCAGGATAAACATGATTATTAATTATTTATTATGATCATTAATGTCACTAAAATCTTTAAAATATTTGAAAAAAAAACATTATGATATATATAGGAAATAAGTTGATGCTAATTACCATTTTACAAATTCTTATTTGAAAAGAAAATTTTTACGTTAGAATATTCTGATTAAGATGAGCTTTAAAACCATTAAATTTGCTTTGAGATTGATGTAATATGAATTACTTATATATTGCAAGAGGCTTCTAACATTTGGAAAAATTCATCTCTATATGCATGAGGAGAGTTGAAGAGAATATTTTTAAAAAGTATTTAAATCATTTTATCATAATATATTTTATGATTCAAATGATAGCAATAAAATAAATTGTTTCAAAAATACAAAAACTTAAGTCCGCAATGTAAAAAGTCTAAATAATCTAAATTATTAAATTTAAAAATATGTTTTATTAAGTAATTCATATTTTTTAAAATTTTAAATCTATCAAAATAATATTGAATATTTGATAAATTAATATTTTGTAATACTTCAAAAGAAGCATAAATTTAGGATAAAAATTACAAAATAAAAATAATTAAAATGACAATTGATGGTTAATTAAGATTTATAAGATCTAAACCAAATGAATGGACAAGATTTTTTTTTGGGTGACGAAGCGTTAATTAAAGTTTCCTTTTAACACTAATATGGAAATAAATATTTGTCATAATATTATAAATATATTTAGGATAAAATTCACATTAATAAATTAATATCATCTTCATTTATTAAGATATAAGATAGATGATTAAGATTTTATAAAATCTAAAAGAATGAATGGACAATTTTTCATTTTGGTATAAATGCTAAACACTTTTTTTATAGTTGTAGATATCATGTATATCTTCGTGCTTAAATAATTAGTATTAAGTGGGCCTAACTAATCATAGATTAGTAATCAATTAGTTATTCTCATAAAAATTATATTTAATTTATTGTGGCTATATATATGCTCTATTATTTATGCATTAATGGAAGTTCATATTCTTAGAAAAATTCAAACTATTTGAGTTTAGTGATTATAATTACTATAGATATTATCAAAGCAATTATATTAACACTAAATAATCTTAATTAGAGTATAGATTCCATCGATTGAATTATTATTGTCGAAGGCATGATCATCCAATAAGAATGATCTTAATAAGAAGATTATTGAAGCTAATGATTTTTTATTTAGTACTAATCTCAATGTAAATCTAAGAGCTTTGAAGTATATTCTAATATAGAACCCGTCATAATATTCTTATATAGTTTCTTTAAAAATTTTTGTTCATATAGAGAGAGAGAGAGAAATAGTTGATTTTCATTGAAAACATTTGAAATATTCATTAAAAATTTTCCCATACGACTGAATAATATTGTCACATTCTCCTTTGACGAATAATTCGGTTTGATCCATAACGTGAGCAGGACTTTGTAGCAAAGAAGCAACATCTCAATATTAGAAGCAAGAGTCCCATGACTACACTCTCCTACATTTTCTTAGCCCCTTTCACTTGTCAATTCTGATCTGATGTAATCCAAATTAATTTTCTCGTGATGTTAATTGAATCAAATCCATCAAAAGAAAGGTTAAGTATTTATGATATATAATTTTAAGAATGGTTTCAAGTTTATTTCAAACTCTTATTTTTGATCGTTTGTTTTAAGGTTTTGTTTGGAACGATTTTCTTACTGTTTCTTAAAGCAATTTATTAGTTCAAAAATTAAAATTTTTATAATGGATAACTGCTTCAAGAAGCAATAACAAAGGTGTCTCAAACGAAGACTAAGAATTTTTTATTTCTTTTTAAAGCAGTTTTTTAGTATAAAAATTAATTTTTGTACTAGAAAATTGCTTTAAAAAGCAGTTCCAAACCAAGCCTAAGGCTAAGTTTGGGACGGCTTTTTATTGATTCTAAAAGCTTTCTAAATATATATATTTTAATATCTTTTTTTATTTATTCAATACC